TGTATGCTGCTGTCGCCAATTTTCTGGTAAGCTAATCCGCCCGCCTCCAAAGATAGACCATTAGTAACGAAATGCTGGAAGAAGGTTTCGAAGGTTTGTCCAGCATATAAAACAAGCGTCTCGTAATCTAGCAGTGCACTGGGATCTCTATTGACGAGATTGTACATGCTGTAAGTCATCAAGTCCATGTTCATACCGTTTTCCATATCGCGCATGACAAAAGCATTGTCTTGGACGTACTCCCAGAGTGTGATTTTGTCGTTGGCGGCTTTGAACATCGACCCCATGAACAAGACTCCATAGCTTGTGGTCATGTTCACTGGTCCTTTGTATGTTTCATTCAAGCGCTGATTTGATGCGCTGCCGGTGAAATTGCGTTGAACGAATGCCTCTGACCAGGCTTCCTCTGCGGGACGGACGGAACCAACAATCTCAAACGACTGAACAGTACCTGTATCCTTATCTACCGTGACTCTGGCATCTGCTGCTTCAATGGTTGGTAAACAACGTGCAGCTTGCATAGCAGGTGCTTCGTCAAAAATCAAAGCATCTTTACCACCTCCTCGTGGTTTTCCGACAATCCATTTCGTAACGAACGGTACCGGCCACTGACGATCCTCATAAGGGAAGCTCTTGACTTCGATTGGTGACCAATATCCGATCACAGCTGTGTTTGTATCGTTGTTGGTTGTATTTGAACAGCATCGAATCATGCTACTGGTAGCAAAAGTGGAAGTATTTGAAGGGCCATCATTAAAGATCGTGGGTGGAAGAATATAGCCATCTTTTGAACCTGGTATGTCTACTTCCTGTTGATATGATGATGGGAGATTATCTGTCGTATTGAGCCATGTCGAGGTGTTTACTATTTCCGGTATTCTTTGACATTCGAGCTTGGCTCGAAGAGCTTGTGTCGTGATTGTCACATTGCTCGGATATAAAATGCCTTGTTTGGGGTTGGGTTGCACTAGTGCTAATCCACTTGCTTTAGACAGATCAATAGGAATGAAACTCCAGCCATCATGTGTCCAGGTAGGCTTTGTTCCGTTGAGTGATAGCTGTATGGTAGCCCCGGGCAACCAATTCTTCGGTGGGTCTAAGAGAAGCTCGTTGAGTACTTTCCAAGGAAGTCGGCCTGGGTTGGTTCCTGACCAGAGATCATCCGCGGCCCTGTGAGTAGTCATGATTGGCAACATTCTATCTTCTAGAGTCCTTTGAAAAACGGTCGGATGAACGACGTTTGTAGATTGCCGCTCAAAGACTGCTGACATCGATACGGTGACTGTTATACAATTGTCAGCAAATGAATAGAAGGTTTCTGGGAGACGTCGTACGGATCTGGCAAAGAACACTACCCAGAGCAACCATGAACAGTATCCAGTGCCTATTTAGCGCGGCCTTGATGGCTGCTCCGATCCAGGTCTTGGAGCGATATGTTAGACCTGCCCCACTCCGGATTGGCGTCGGCCGTCGTGACATTGAAATGTACGGTTGTAATATCCTGAAAGTTGAGTCTAGCTGATCCCACCATAGTCCAATGACTATACTGATAACGGTTGGTGCGATCGAAATTGGGGCGAAAGTAGAAAAGCTTAAGCCAAGTTTCGAGATGTCGGCTTCGTAAATAAAAGCTTGCTGTGAAAGGCGGGACCGTATAGAGAAGACGTTGAGTACCAGTACAGCTATCAGAACGCAGACGAGAAAGCAGAAGAGTGCGAAGAGCATGCTTAATCGCAAGACTAAAGGTTGCCAGTGCTGTATTTTGTAAGAGGTTGCAACTGTGGCTTGATACAAAGTCAGTTTTATCAGAGCTCGACAATCGATGATGTTAACTCACTCGTGCTACTCGAGGCATGATTTTCAGTCGCGCGTATCTCTCCATCCTGCATGTAAAACCTGTCCTGCTTCAAGACTTCCTGAAGCTCCTTACGGGATGCTTTGTGATTTCTCCTGAATATTGAAGATTGTTCTGACTGACTTCGAATGAGCATCGCATGTCCGATAGCACTGCCAGGGTCTGTAGTAAGATTGAGCGGACGAAAAGTAAGTCGGGAAACCCAAAACACAAGGGCCAACAGCACAGAAGATACAAGAAACAGAACGGCCAAGGCTATTCCGATCTCCCTAAGCACCATGACTCTCTCCTCTACCAAAGTAGTTTCACCCTTGATGGTGTTGGCTTCCACCGCAGCCGGATCGCGGAGGGCCTCATGAAGACACTCGGTAAAGAACCGGCCTTTGACCCTCGCAACCTGGGCACCAAATTCTTTGTCTTCAAACATTCGAGTGATGTTGAAAGAATAGATGGCGCCGAGTAATGGGCCCACTCCAGTGAATACAGGTGCAGACCTGACTATTTTTGGATCAGCGTATGGGCCCTGAACGTCATCCAGTCCTCGAGTCGCATCAGTTTGCATGCTCTCCGTGTTGAAGTAATCAGCCCAAGCATCCTGTAAAATCGTTCTTTCAAATTTGGGTATGTCCAAGAGTTCCTTTGGTATTGGCGTGCGGTTGGCCGAGTCGACTTGTGTAGAAGTGATGTTTGGTGGCCTCCCTGTTGTCATCAACGCGGAAAGGTTGCGGCTTTCCTGGAAATAATGAGACTGACAAAGTAGCGCCTTCATGCGAAATTCAGGCGATCGTTCAAAGGTCCGGTTGTGCTCTATGCCGGGACCCCAGCTAGTATTGAATTGCACGTCTTTCGCCCAGGGTGTGCTTAATATAACAATATCGCGATTCGCGCACTCATCGGACGCACTATGCCTGGCATACGGACTTGTCTCTGAGACTTCGGCAGGGAATGGCTTCCTACCGAGAAGCAGTAATGTCTTGCTTTGCACAAACAAGGTAGAGGTATTCGACCATGTTAAGCCCCCTGCACTGATTTGACCAGCAGTAGGATGGAAAGACATATTGTAGGTACATCCATCATTTGACTTTAGAACAAAATGAACCATAGGTTCAATGCCTTTGTAAGGCCCATGTTGCATCCGGTCGTACGCACTGTATGGTGTGGGCTCTAGAGTATCACTCTCCAAAGTCATGTCCTGACAGCTCAGATCCGTATGAAGTGCCATGGTTTCGGCTGTCCAAGAATTGTATTTGGACACCAGCTCGGGTCCAAACTGACCACTCTCGATAGAAGGCCAAAACGGTAGTGTGAGTGATTTATCTGAGATCCAAGCCGAAGTGGAAACATTTCTCATCAGAGCAGCCATCGTCCTGAAATATGTCTCTCTGTTAGCAACGATGGATAGCTGTGCGTTATTCCGCGGTACAATTCTGCTGAATTCCAATGGTCTCGAGATGACCACTTCTGCAGATGTAAGAAGAGCAGAAGATAAGGGGGAAATGGCGAAGAGAGCCATGATGTTGACGAATGTACAGCAGATTAGACACCAGCTGGTTTTGCCAATCGACTTGCGCTTAAAGAGAAGATCGGATAAGATGGTCCACCACGCCCTTGGTGTCTGTAACACCGTTCCAAAAGCATTGACACCCTCGGGTGGTGCTTGAGCCAAGCGTGTAAAAGGTTCTGTCCGCTTCGCATCTTCGAAAAGGATTACTGTTAACTGAGTGTATAACACGGCCAGCAGAGTAGGTGTGAAACGCCACCCAAATAATATGGCAGAAGAGCCATCGTCTGTAGCGAGACCGTAATGGTTTTGCGAATACCAGACAAGCAGTGATACAGCAATTCCAAGACTCAAGCTGACCGAGATGGGTACGACCAAGAAGTACCATTTAAAGGTGAATGGCAGCCAATTTGTTTCTTGGTCATGGCCATGGCCATTTTGTACTTTGTGATATTAGAAAATTGACCAATTTTAAAATTATGGAGTAGCAAACCTGATTCTGGGGGGACAGGATTAGGTGCAGGCGGACTGAGGGACCCTGTTTCAACTGGAGAGACGGGGCTTCCCAAAGATTGATCCATGATTATAGTCTTCACAACACCTCCACCATGTAAAGAAACTACCGGGAAAAAGAAAAATAGCTAAGAAAGGGACAGTACCATACTCTACCATACTCGCAATATGGGAGCATGTGCATACTATTTGAGTTGTACGCTACCTTCCCTCAACCGTACCTGCGTCCCTTGTCCCCATAGTATACATTGCGGCACAGCAACTAGCGCAACAAGAACTCCACTGCCAAGAGTGAAATTCAGTAATAACATACCCGGTGTTCTGGACGCGATCGTGTTTCATGCCCGTCGTGCAATAGCACGGCCGGCTAAGCGCCCGGCTGAAAGTTCAGACGGCCGTGCTGCGGTTCGCGCCGACAAGCCAGCGGCAAAGGGTATACCTAAGTACATGGCGATCGTGCAGCCTAATCGCAAGGCGCACTCAGGACAGCGAAGGCTTGGAATTTATGGGTCTACTGTGGACTACTGAAAGGAAGTTCGAGTGCAGTCACGTTATGGTCGATTAGGTTTTGGAGCCGCAGGTGGATGAGATTCGACGACGCCCGATTCAGTCACTTAGCCCGATGTGATGTTCTCTTCCCAGCCTACCCAAGACTGGAACACACGCTCTGGTATCATGTCCCATGAAAGTTTATTCCAAGTGGCTTTTGTTGTCTATTTGCATGGGGTTGAGAGTTGTGCTGGTTCATGACTTATGCCAGTCGAGATGTATTGGGTGTTCATGAGATGGATCCAGATTTTAGCCGCCCGGCCCAAGTACCGAGAGGTACCTGGCATATACCCACACTTTAGCAAGGTCACTCTTATCTGCCTGCCCTTTTCGCATGTTAGCCCCGTAATTTCCTACCAGGCCATTGGAAAGTAAAAAAAGGTGTCGCAAACTGGCGAGGTGCAGACAAGCGCGGCTAGCAACATTGAATTGTTCTCAAAGTATCGATATTGCATAAAGTATGCATACTACAACTTTGCCTTCTCAAGTCTATCTGTATGTTGCACAAGCCCATTTATCCAAACAGTATGCTTTGATATCGACAACGATTTGACCTAGGTTCAAAGGCGACTTTCTCTGAATCTACAGTCTGCTGTCTCCTTTCATGGATGGCACAATAGCTACCGCGGTCGCAAATTCTCCATCGTGACTGATACTGATCTCACATAGCTGTCCCTCCAACTCATGCACATCGAGAAGAAGATGAGATTGCACCTTGCGACCAAAACTAGTATCCGTAGAATCAATCGAAAGAGCCTGTGCTTTGTATATCTCGTCGAGAATTAAGCCTTGTGGACGTGACGATTGGTGTTCGTTACGATCCAGCAAAGTAACGGGGAGAATCATGATTTGTTGGAAGCCTCTGGCGTTTTTATCCAGATGGTCGCATGCTTTGCGACATGCTTCCTTTGCAGCAAATCTTTGTTGTGTGAGCTTCTGAGTTCAATAGTTTTGCGACTTTGTGTACATACCGGCCTGCGAGAAATGCAGCAACAGCGTCGGGTTTTGTCAGAATGTCGTCTGCAGATGCAAAACGCTGCCAAAAGTACTGTTGTTCATGGCTGGTAAGAACTCTCTTCAAGAATTGGTGCAGCGGGCGCAGCGGATCGCTATTGTTGCGTCTGGTAATGATGCCACGTAGCCTCGAGATACTGCAAATATCTGTGCCCACTCTGAACGGGAACGGAAATGCTCGGGGTGGCATGGATGTGAGTGGTGTGTGTTGTATGCATGAGAGAAGCGTAAGTAGTGCCGAGCCCAACGGGACATAATCTATGCATAAATAAACAAAAACTAGTTTACATTAACAAAAAATTCCCCCATAAAATATCAAATCAGCGTGATGATCTGACAAAAAAGAGACGACGTTGGCCAGATTCGAACTGACGCTCCCGAAGGAACAAGATTTCTAGTCTTGCGCGATAACCACTCCGCCACAACGCCTAGTGTTCGAAACGTTCTTAATACTTCGATGGGAACTTGGATAATTATATAAATAATAACTTGACAAACTTTGATTATTGCTTATTAGAGACTACGAGAGTCAAGCATTGACTCAGGCTGCCTAACGTGTTCCGATAGATAGGGGGGCATTTTCCATTAAGTAGCGTTTTTCAACTGGCCCCTTCATCCTGGACAATAGCATCTTACTAATAAGAAGATATCATATCATTCTTTACCGTAAGACATTACTTACCGACATATTAAAAAGAACAGTGCCCACATCTTGACCAGATGAACGATGATATTGAGAGGGGGCATTGTGTTACTAGAAGCCGTTAGTGGAGACTTCAACGAGGTAAAAGGAAGAGCAAAAGCTACGTTGTCTTGTATCGCAACATCTGAGAAAAGGACAGCAATAAGAAGAGTTGGTCTTAGCAAACTCTCATCAGTATACGAGAGTTTGAGTTTCAACTGACAAGTCTGACTTCGCTGTTACCCGCGCAGTGGCCGAATCATGAATACATAAGGACTCCTTAGTATTAGTGTTTTCTCTCTCCTGCATCATACTCACCTTTACTCTCTTAAAGCCATTCTCACGACTTTGCCATCACCTCTGCTGTACATGCTCTTTGAACCAACGATATGAAGTCTATTCTTGTCACCGTGTTTTTGCTTTTGGCACCTGCACAAGTGTTGGCAAACTACCCAGGTGTGTCATCGTAGCTGTTACTATTCGTGACCTTCTTACAGTAAATTTCTGACATATCATACGTCTTACAGTCAAGCTATGCTGTGGGCCAGGAACACAAGGACGAGATAAAGATCCACCGTTCAATTGCGAGAACCATTCCGGCTCTATGCTTTGTGTATGTATTACCAAAACACCCAGAATATCTATCTTTGCGATTAACAACTACAGTGTGTCAACGCCGATAAGGCCGATCCTCAGGATAAATGTAAGGTGGGAATGGATGCGCATCGTCTGGCTGTCGCAGGCCTGGAGAACCCAGAAAGACGGGGACATGATACTTGCCGCTACACCGTAGGCAGGGACCCGGTACATGGTTTTCGATGGTGTGCCAAAACTGGTAGCAGCTGGTAACTGGCATCTTTTTGGACCTAGAGTGGCAATGTCTTATTAGAATGAGAAGGGCACAAAGCTCTCGACGTCAAGGGAACCAAGACATTGATTTTCATGGACAAGAAATATGGTGCTGTGGAATAGATGCTCGATAATAATCACATTACTATCAAGAATGAAAGATACTCGAGTTCTTAGCTATCGAATACCCCCAAATCAACTGTAGACCCTGGTGACTTGATGTTGAGATGCACTAATCACTCTACATGTCACGTGACTACAACTCGCCTCGAGTCGTATCCTTGGTGCTTACTTGCTACTAGTTCTTAGTCGTAGTACCACACTCGGTTGGAAACATCTATTAGCCCAACGACTCGATGCATATGCTTTATGGCGTTCACTCCGGATTTATCTGTACTCCAAATGATTGTAAAAAAAAACCAAAGTCTAGCAGAATGAATTTTGTAAATGCAAAAGGCTGAACAACGCATATATACTGTAAGTAGATGACGGTGAACTGTACGACAATGCGCACGCTTATGGCCGCATCTCGGAATCTGGAAGCTGAGATAATCAAAGAAGGAATTGTGCTTTCCCGATGCACTCGGAATCCGATGATGGGTTGTGCGCAGTCAGCTTCGTGTTGGGCCGACCATCATCCCGCTCAGACCGCACGCATGTACGTACGTAAGTACCAGGGTTAGTGCTCAAGCAAGCTGCAAGTGTTGAAACAGTGCTGGCAGTTTTCAACGCCAATCCGCGTGCGACTTGCAAGGCAAATGGAAGGTGACGCAACGCTACACCGTCATTCTGCGAGGCTTACAGACAAGGGGCCCCAGGTTTAAGAAGTTAGGCTTGGGGTGTGGATGCGGGGCTGAATGCTCGGACTGCTTGGCTTTCCTTCCGTCGAGTCCGGACTAGGGACAGAGGAATGGGGCCGCTACGGGTGTGGTACCTGCGACGGCCGCATATCAGTGAGTGACGATCGATGCTGTGGCAACGCCTGTTGGCATGTCTCTTCTAAAGGCCCGTTTTCCCACTGCTTATTATCTGCTTTGGTCCTGTCGCGCGTTGCTTCGGATCATGTACGCTTCCTAAGTATTTCCAATGCAACCACCTACTTCACCAAGCCTCCTAGGCGTTCGGATTCTCACACTAGATGCTACCGGACCTGAGTACTCGCGCTGGCGACGCAGTGTCAGGTTTGCTTTGGAAACGAAAAATGGGTGGAAATACTGCAATGGCAGGCGTCCGATGCCGATGCCAAAGGCAACACCAGCCATAGCCGAACCTAACGACATACAACCAAGTTTACTGCAGGAACGACGAGAATGGGTGCGACGAGACCGCGAGGTCAAACTTGACATATTCCAGTCACTAGCAGAAGAAGTGATGCAGGACGTATTTGGTGTCGGCCCTCCGCTTCCCCCCACACAGTACACTGCGCAACAAATGTTGCAAGCACTAGACAATCGGTTTAGTGTCTTTGAGTTTGAAGGTTACCACCACGCCTTCTGTCATTTTTTGAACTTGCACGTGGATCAGTATGAGAATCTCGACGATTTCAACAAGGAGTTCCTAACGGTGCTGGAGGACCTGCATGACTATGGCCACCCAATATCCAATGTCCAAGCATGCAGCGCATACTTTTCCAAGCTGCAATGCACGCAGAACCCATGGGTAGCAAAGAAAGTGGCAGAATGGGATGTCCAGCCTTTCGAGCCTCAGCTGTGCGATCTTATGCAGGCAGCAGTGCTCTGGCCGTGTACCAAGTCTCTTGCATCCAACTCGTGGCGGGACTGCTTTGCGAAGCCATCACCAGAAGAGCATATCGATGATGGTGCTGCACCTGGACCTACATATAGCGACCTTGCACCCGAACTTTCGGACACATCCACCCTGTCATCCAAAGCTTCACATTCGAGAGAAATGTCCGAGCTGATTTCCGAGCGGCAAATTAAAACGGCGATTCATCTGAGCAATAGGCAGTTCGATCCAAAAGCACTATGTGAAGCGCTTGAGAGGATTCCAGCTATAGTAGGTTCAGAAAGGCCAAGTCTGGACCAAGGCATAAGAACAGACCCGACAACGCCTGAATGGCTAAGCGCAAGAGAGAGTATCGATTCACAGCCACCGATGCAGAAGAATGCAGGATCAGAATCAACCGATATACCAATACTTTTACTACCACCAGCCGCGCTCCACAAACCAGACAGCAATCCACACATGCGTTCTCTATCAACCCCCATACCCGAGATAGCACTCAGCAACCCCACGATCCCAGAAAAGAGCCCTCGACGAAAAACAACCGACTTCTCATTCAAACAGGCCATAGTCTCTATCCAAGCAAGCCAGAAACCCCCCTCACTGTCCGAGCACCCCGCATTCCGAAACAGAGCATGGTCCCCCCCAGAAACCATAACCGCAGACCTGCACCCAGCCCTGCGCCCAATGACCCCACTCCTCAAGCCCCAAAAGCCAAAGCCGAAACAAAAAGAACGCTCCTGCTCGCCCCTCGACCTCTCAAGATCCAAGCCGCCGCCTCCACTACGCAACCACCACCGCCGCCGCGCCCGCAGCGTAGGAAACTTCTCCGCCCAAGACACCACCTCATCCTTCCTCCCCCCACCCTCCAGCACAACCGCAAGCGGGAGCAGCAGCACAAGCACCGTATTTACCCTCCCCCTCCAAGGCTCCACCCTTCTTTCCATCCCAGACACCACCACACCGCCATGCTCACAACTCTCATCCACCTGTCCCTTACCTCCTTATAACCCCACCCCGCCGCTTCCTCCCCCCTCCCCAGTCCATTCCCCATCCCCATCTCAAAAACCCCTCCCATTCCTCCCTTTCCCCTTCATCCACACACACACCCGCTCCCCTTCCGCACCACCACTACCAACCCAGCGCCCCGTCCAGCCTCCCGTCTCGAAATTCTCCCTCTCTCCTACACCGGATGCTGCGCACAAAGATAAGCATGCGAGGAGTGGGCATAGGCGGTTTAGGAGTACGGGGGATTGCGATGCCAAGGCTAGGAATAAGGCGGGGTATAAGAGTGGGAAGGAGGCGAGGGATGCGAGGGATGATAGAAAAAAGGAGAAGGAGAAGGAGAAGAAGAGGGAGAAGGGTTGGAGTTTGGGGGTTGGAAGGATGGGCAAGTTGGGAGGAGGAGGAGGAAAGGGAGAGGAAGATGGAGGGGATGTGTAGATGATGTTCACCCTCCTTTTTTTTTCGTTGATATCCAAGTTAGCTGCTATTTGGAGCGTACCTATTGTTGCTGTTGCGGAGTCACTCGCTTGTTTTCCATATACCCTTTTTGTTTTCGGTTTTCGGTAGTCTACCTAGATTGGTTAGGAGGTATTTCCATTCTGGTCTTGTCTTAGCTTCCTTTCCTTGTGAATCGAAACAAAACAGATTGAATGACTGTGGTCCAAAATATCTCCCCTTTTCCAACTTTTCATCAGATAGGACTGGTATACTCGAACATCAAACATCACAAGATGGAAAAAGGGCTGTTGTCTTGCACAATAAAGGAAGAAGATCAAAACTTTTGCTAAAAAAAAATGACAATTGGTCTATATTCGCCATCTTATGCTATAGGGATGATGCAAGCGTCTTTAGGTCCCCACATCAAGTGTCATTAGTCGTGTCATGCGTATATTGAAATCACGACTTGTCTACCATGTAATGTTGTACAAGCCCTCTACATCTACTGCGTCTCACGCACGACCTTGTCTACAGCCTTTGCAAAGTAGTCAATGTTGTGTGAGTTGAGACCAGCCATGGAGATACGGCCGTTCTTGGTCATGTAGACGTGCGAGTCCTCTCGGATCTTGAGCACTTGCTTCTCGGTCAAACCGGTAAAGCTGAACATGCCAATCTGGTCGGTAATGTGGTTCCATGTGCCGGGTGTGCCCATTTGCTCGAGCTTGCTGCGGAGCTCCTTGCGCATCTCCTTTATGCGGCCAGACATTGTGCGGAGGTTCTGTTCCCACTCGGCAAACAGGGTGGGGTCGTTGAGGACCGTCGAGGCGATGCGGGCGCCGTATGCAGGAGGATTTGAAATCTCGGAGCGCTGGAGGATGGCAAGCTGTGAGGCAATGCGAGTGATGGTGGACTGGGCGTCGGACGAGGGCGAGGTGATGAAGTGGAAGCAGCCAGCACGCTCGCCGTACAGGCCAAAATTCTTTGCGTACGACTGAGCAACGCACAGCTCAAAGCCCTGTTCGACAAAGTAGCGGATGGCCCAGCCGTCGGTAGCAAGGTCGCCAGATGCGAAACCTTGGTAGGCAGTGTCAAAGAAGGGAAAGTGCTTCTTGGACCTGATGACGTCGGCGATCTTCTTCCACTGATCTTGGGTAGGGTCAACGCCCGTCGGGTTGTGGGCACACGCGTGTAGCACGATGATGCTACCCTCGGGCGCGCCCTGGATGGCAGAAATCATGCCATCAAAGTCGAGGCCCTTTGTGTCCTTTGAGAAGTAGGGGTATGTCTTGTATTGGATGCCGACATTGGAGAAGATCTGGAAGTGGTTGGCCCATGTGGGGTCAGAGAAGTAGACGGTGCGTTCTGTCTGGGGCTTGTAGAATTTTGCGAGGAAAAGGGCGCCCAAGTGGACGGCTCCGGTACCGGAAATTGTCTGGAGGCTGGTGACCTGTGTGGAGTGAGCTCAGGCCATGAGAAAGTGGCGTGAGAAGCTTACCCGCTTGTCCTTGATGGCGGGGCTGTCACCACCAAGAACCAGCTTCTGTGATGCAGTTGTGAACTCGGGTAAGCCGGCAATGGGCAGGTATTCGTGGTTAAGGTTGGGGTCGCTACGGAGGCGCTCTTCAGCCTGGAAGGAGAGTGTGAGTAAATAGTAGCAAAGCAAGTTAATAGTAGGACGCGGGGAGGGGTGTGAATCACCCCGCACTCGACGTGGACTCACCATCTTAACGACAGGCAGAATCCAAGGCTTTGCATTGTCGTCCCTGTAAGCGCCAATGCCCAGGTCGACCTTGTTGGGGTGCTCATCACGACGGAAGGCAGCCATCAGACCAAACAAGGGATCTTCAGGCGCCTGGGGGACGACATTGGCGTCGAAAGCGGTGGCAGCCATGGGGTCAATGTGTGAGGAGATTTGGGAGAGTCGGGTTTGAGGGGTAGTAATGGGGTTGGAGGAAGAGGGTTCGGAGGAGGATGGGGATGAAGTAGATGAGGCTGGCATGGTTGTGGCGTCTGAGTGCCAACCAAGAGCACCACGTCTCGCACCGGTTACGTTTCACCGCCCGAGCAAAGGGAAACTGGACGCCGCGTCTGCCCACGCTAACCCCCGCAGATTGTATTACGGGGAGGGGAGCGACCGGCCGGTGAGGAGATGCGGAGAGTGGAGCACGGGGGTAGTGTACCGGTGCGACGAGATGCAGATGCAGATGCAGAAGCGTGAACGACGAACGACGAACGCCAGGCAATGCAGGCAGGGCCTGACTGCACCCGGCAGGCCGCTATATAGGTACCACGCACAATACAGCGGTTTTCTTGCCCGGTTCATCTGATGCAGGGTCGTGTGAGCAAGCCGAGGCACATGTCGAGCACCATGGCAGCCGAGTACCCGCCCACGCCTTCTCACATGCGCTGTCTCTGCTACTGTATTACGTCGTGACAAGCTTCCGTCCAGGTTTGCGGGCAGTCTAGGAATGAACCGCTGTGGGGGGGAGGGGGACCCCACAGGGCTGGCATTGCTTGCTTCTTGTAGCAATATGGTCCACTCAGCATGCGCCCGTTGCTAATGCGCCGAGTCTTGCATTGCACTCGCCATGTTGGGTATCTACTACTTCACACAACTACTACTTCACACTGCCCTCAGGCTCTTATGCTCTTACACAAACAAGTCCCACAGCACCAGCGTCGCGCAAAAGACACTTGTTGCCCAGAATACCTTTTGCGCCGTGCTGCCCCGCTCCGTCGCCCGCTTCAACTCCTTGTTACCGCTCCCCACATTCTCCTGCGTGTTGAGCGAGTCCTCCACTAGCTGGTCAATGTGCGCTGCCTGCATGCTGAGATTGCTGGCCAGCGTCGACTGCAGCTCAGAGATCTCGGTGAGTGATTTTTCCGTTGCGCTGCCTGGGCGTTAGCAGATGCATAGTCACGCGCATACACCACCACATACCGGATCTTGTCAAGCTGGTCCTCATACTGCTTAAGCATGTCCTGGTTCTCTTGCGCAAACAACTGAAGCTGTTCGGGATCCAGCTGATTCTCAATCACCGTGCTCTTTTCGTCCGGGTTGTACGATGCCGTCACTCGGTAGTCTGGGTCAGCACTCTGTCCACCCTTGGGCTCGTTGTAGTCGGCCATAGCCGGAGCTGTAATCCTGCTCTTGTGCAATACACTCTTGCTCTTCTCCACCTCTCGTGTGAGCCGAATCTCCATCATGTTGCTCTGGAACTGCCCACACTCCTCGAGCTGCTTCTGCAGCGACCATATGATGCTCTCTCTATGCGCCTTGATCGTATTTGCCTTGGCCTCTTCAATCTCCTCCTCTGGGCTCTTTGCTGTGATTGCCCCGCCTGCTGCCCATCGTCCCAGCGCGCCCAGCCCCTGCTTCGCCCGCTTCCTCAGCGCAACTTGGCTCTGAGCTGCCTGTCGTGCTTGCTCTGCAACTCCCAGTGTCTTGATAGCATCGTTGAGTTGGCGTATTGACTGCTTCGCTTGCAGATCAATCTCGTTGCGCTGCGCATCGCTCAAGTACTTTGAGTCCTTGTCGGCGGCAGAGGAGGTACTGCTCCGTGCCAGCTGTTTTCGGCGGGGTGGATTCGCAGTAGAGAGATAGCTCTGCCGTATCGATTTCAGGTCCGTGTGCAGCTTGGTTATGTGTGTTCGCTGTTGCAGTTAGCTACCATGACCCATCTTGCTGTGGCGCGCAACGTGGCCTACAATGCGGTATGCCTCCTTGACAAAGTCGTCGAGTGCTTCGACTCGAAACTCAAAGGGTTTAATTGGCGGCGCATTGTGCTTTGCAAGCACCTGATTAAAGGTGGGCGTGATGTCCATTGTGTCGAGGTGCAAGCAACTTGCTCGTATGAGATGACGATGCTCCCCGCGGGAATGTCATGCTGGTCTTTCGCTTCTCGGCCAATGACGCACCACCCCTTAGCACCGACAACATGGCCAGACTGCAGCCTGCCTTTTTTCCCTTCTGGGCCCATCTCCAGACTGACTAGATCCAACCTACCTTGCCCCATCCTCGAGGCCATGTTGTTGGATATATGTAACGTCACATACACCAACTCCCAACAACACTTCCTCGCCCTTACCCCCTTGTGTCTTCACTCTTGCGTATCCCCGCATTTCCGCATTCCTAGAGGCACCACTAGTCCCCAGTCTTGTACCAAAAATACTACCCAGCGTGGCTTGCATCAGAAGATGTACTAGAAGGCTGAGTCTTGGATCGCCCCCAAATAACACGCCTAGCCTTCCGATTGGGCCCTAGCAGCCATCGTCTCACGACTAACCGCGATCATCTCGCGAATAACCTGTCAGAAGGACTGGACGCCCTAGTTCCAGACTCGGTCACAGTATACACTTTTGTCTTTGATGACACGGCTTTCTTCATTCCAACCCGAGTTGCAAAGCTCCTCGTCCTCCTACAGGGACAGCTGACATGTCATCTCACAGTGACCTCTGGCCTTTTGACAGTAGATCACTCGCCAGGTGAAACCTGAAGGTCGTACCAACCACTGCCAACATATCAGCTTATTATTAGGCTACCCAATGGCTGCTCAGATGCAAGGTCGTATTCCCTATTGCTCCAAGGCTGGGCACGCCGTTGGCGTAGTGAGAATTGTCTGTTGACGTTACTCTGGATACCAGGGTGATAGCCACAAAAAATGTCACATACGGGACCCTCCTGACTATTTGTACACTGATGCCCTCGCACGCTTTGATTTTGCTTCACTGAATCCACTCAATTCACTAGCAATCCTAATAGTAGACTCCCTACCACACCAAAGCTCATTCAAACCACCTTCCTAAAGACGAGAGACACCATGAAGTCCAACAACATGCTCCTTGCCTTCTTTGCTTCTGTCGCCATGGCCTCGCCTGCCGCCCTCAACATGCGGGCTGACGAGGCTTGTATGCCCATATCTTACACTATTTCCGAATACTCGCTCGTTACCTCGCCCACCTCGGGCAGCGTCCACTTCACCTTCCAGTCAGCCTTTGCCCCTGGTGCCACCATCGACGACTCGGTCCAGGATGGCGCCCAATGCAGCGCCTCTGATACCTCTGTCCCCAACAGCAACGAGTGCCAGGTGTCCAATCGTCGTCTACTCTTTGATCTTCGTGGGCCTCAAGAGCAAGCTTACTACCAGATTACGCACACTTGGTCTTGCAACGGGTAAGTTTAGTACTTGCATTGTGTTGGACATGATCATTACGTCATCTCTTATCTGAGACTCAGCTAATGGTTACGACAGAGGTACCTGGCTCTCTGGCACTCCTGTCAGAATTGATCCCCTCACCTGCCATACCGAAGGCGACGAGCGCACCTGCATTGGCGGTCCTCTGACCATTGCGCCTCAGAATGTGCGCAGGATCTGCAGCACTCCTACATGCCCCTAGCCTCATTTCATGCACCATATGAGGACTGTCTAGAGGTCTACATGAACTAGAGATGTGTGTGTGTTCATGAAGTTATGCAATCCGGCCATGAAACAGGCACAGAGTGGCTAGTAACCGAAAGAGCTGATATACCAAAGGCTCAGTAATCCCTAATAGAGAGAGAGATGTAGCCCACAAAAGTGTTTTTACCTAGAAACTCAGCAATTCCAAACGTACTCGGTCTTTTTTCCTCTCAAAATAATGTGACGTGCCGTGCAAGAAACCCTCGCTCGTCCGATTGACACACCATTTCACCACCACCTCGCCCCAAATATCTTCGGCGCAACCCTATCCCTCTTCTTATCCGCCATCAAATCAATCCTCTGATGCCCCTTCACATCCACCGCCAACGTCTCATACTCAAACTCATCCTGACTCGGCCTCTTGGTCAAATGCACATGCACCACGCCCTGGCCCCTCGGCCCCTCCACATAAAACTTGAACCGCAAGTGCTCCGTGCCCCACTTGTCCGTCTCTTGTGTACTGCTAATCTGGCGATTGCGCGCCCACCGTGACCACGACGGTTCGCCGTACGCCGCAATTTCCGCGCCTGGACCTAGTAGTTTCTGGCAGCGGGCGTCGGCGCGGATGAGGTCTGTTGCGCGGTTGAAGTAGGCGGTTTTGGAGGTGGGGCTTAGGACGTCGGAGAAGAGGAAGTAGCCTACGCCGCCCTGTAGTTTGCGCGTTAGTTGTGTGAATATGGTTGTTTTTTTAGGGTGGGTATAGTCGTACTGTTGCTAAGATGCCCACAAGAACGACGACCAGGTTGACGCTTTGCTGGGTTGTTCGGACTATTTTTTCGCCTGGCGAGAGGTCGGACCAGCGCACTTGGCCCGTGTCGCCGGTCAGTGAGATGGATTTTCTTTGGGTCTGCGGCGACGGATTGCTCGTCGATGTGTGTGTTGCTTGTGCATTTGATGTGGAGGAAAAGAAGGCTTTGCGCCCGAGTTGCGCCTGGGGACTGGACGCGGGCTTGATGCGTGGGAGGAGGAAAGTAGGTCGCAGTAAAGCGATTGCTTCGGCTGGTCTGTATACTGCGGCCATTGTGCGTGTGGTGGTGAGGGGTCAATGCGATCGCTCAGCAATGCGGAGTCGGAGGCTCGTGTGACGGCGGAGGTGGGAATGCAGCCAAGGCCGAGGCTGCAGCTTGGTGGCGGCCCGTAAGTCGGTCCCTGGATACCAACTAACTTTTGGGTTATCCAAATCACCTGTATACCCTATTCACACTCGCTACTCACTCTTTTCCTCAGTCTTATTCTGCGCGATTTGTACCACTTGGGTTGCATCGGGCGACATTGAGCGCCAGACAGGATGAGTTCCAACAAGAAGAGTAGCCTCACGGGCTATCTTCCGGATATCCTCATGGCAGCTGCTGCCGTACGTGTCTGCCCCTGTTTGCTTGTCTGCCTTTTTTTCGATATTGAGAATTGAGCTGATGTGCAAGACAGCCATTAATAGCCTACTTTGTCATCCGCAACCTGCTCACGCGCCTCGATCCCGAAGCCCAACAAAAAGAAGAAGCCCGCGCAAAGGCCACGGCCGCAACTCGCAAACTCGATGCTATTCTTACAAGTAAACGGCGGAAAAGCTATAGCGAGTATGACAGTGAAGATGACGACGAGACGGACTCGCGGCATCGACGGCCGCGGATACAAGACCTCAACCTCAACACGTACGAACAAACAATTGCTATGGAAGTCGTTGCGCCCGAGGAGATTCCCGTCAGCTTTGAGGGTAAGTCATGACAAGTTCATTGGAATGGTGCTCAGCTCTGGGCTACAGCTCGGACACAACTGGCGCATGCATGTGCATGCTTTCAGCAGCAGTGTTTGGAAAACGGCAATAGGACTGACAACAGACAGACATCGGAGGTCTCGACTCCATCATTGAAGAACTCAAGGAATCCGTCATCTATCCCCTCACCATGCCCCACCTCTACGCTCACAGTTCCTCGCTCCTCAGCGCACCTTCAGGTGTCTTGCTCTATGGTCCTCCCGGTTGCGGAAAGACGATGCTGGCCAAAGCCCTCGCACACGAATCCGGCGCTTGCTTCATTAACTTGCACATTTCGACCTTGACGGAGAAGTGGTATGGCGACAGCAACAAGCTTGTGAATGCCGTCTTCAGTCTTGCGCGAAAGCTCCAGCCCAGCATTGTGTTTATCGATGAGATTGACGCGGTTCTTGGACAGCGACGAAGCGGCGAACACGAAGCCAGCGGTATGGTTAAAGCAGAGTACGTTTCTCTCCCACACCGAAAGCAGGGTGATTAAACTCACAATGTCAGATTCATGACCCACTGGGACGGTCTCGCCTCGTCCACCTCCTCAGGTACCTCTGACCCCCAACGCATCTGCATCCTCGGCGCCACAAACCGTATCCAAGACATCGACGAAGCCATTCTCCGCCGCATGCCCAAGAAGTTCCCCGTTGCCCTCCCCTCAGCCGCCCAACGCCACAACATCTTCTCCCTTATCCTCCGCGGCACCAAAATCGACACGGCAAACTTCGACCTTGACTACCTTGTCCGCGTCTCCGCAGGCATGTCCGGCTCCGACATCAAAGAAGCTTGCCGCGACGCCGCCATGGGCCCCGTCCGCGAGTACATCCGTCGCAAGAAGGCTGACGGCACCCTACGTAGCAGCAAGGCCGTCAAAGCCGCAGACGTCCGCGGTCTCCGCACTGAAGACTTCTTCGGTCGCGGAAAGGGCCTCCGTGACTTGGACACGCTCGATCAGACCCGCGAGGAAATGAATGCCAACGTGAGGAGTAGAGTTCATACTACCGAGGAGGAGTCGGAGGAAGATGAAGATGAAGACGACGATGCTACGACTGAAGTCACTACCACCACCGAAGATGCAAGCGAGCGCGGTAGCGAGCCCACGTTCCGCGATGACAAGTATCGACCCAGGGCTACGCCACCGTCCGCGCCGGACAATAGGCGTGAGAGAGACGCCGTAGTTTCGAGGTGATGAGAGTCTGGAGATTTTGTGCATTAGCATTAAACTGTATATTTCTCCTCTTCTCTTCTTCTTATCTCTTTTTTTCCTCTCTCTCTCTCTCTCTCTCTCTCAAGTTTTTTTCTTATATTATTATGAACTGAGGTTGCTTGGTCCCTATTGGAATCCTGAAAACGAATTATACTCACTCAAATCATGGTCATGTCATGAAAAAGATGATGATGCTAGTTTGGGTTTATGTACCCACGATGCATAGGCAATAAATATGAATGCACTCACACATTCACATACACATACACACGCATACGTACATATATATATATGTCAATGGGAACCATGTATCATTAGAAATAGAATGGAATGGCGTTTGTGTTTCGTCCTTTGGTTTTGAATGAAGAAAACTGAAAAACTTTCATGTCCATTTTGTCGAGGTCTTAAAATACGACGTACACTCACTCCTCCTGGATTATATTCTCAAGCAGCAACCGCACCAAACAGGGCAGACGACATCATTCATCATAAAACCATGACTCTACTTCTCCTCCTCCTCTTCCTCTTCGTCATCTTCATCTTCCTCGTCGTCCTCCTCTGCACCAGCCGCAATTTCCTCGTCCGCATCCTCAGCCTCCCCCTCTTCTTCTTGCACGAGCAGGTCCTCAATAGTACCCCCCTCCTTCTCTAGCCTCAGATACTCATCCCATTCAGGGAACATCTCAGCGTCGCCCTCACCATCACCATGAGGCGGCGTACCAAGAAGCCTTGCCACCTTGGTCTTTTGCTCCTTTTCCAACGACGCCTTCCACTGCTTCACCAGCTCGGCAGTTGCACTGGGCTTGTACGTTTGTGAAAAGAGCACAGCCTCGGCAAAGCGGCTCGTCTTGACAAGGAGATCAATGCAGGCCTGCACATCGCCAATCTGCCACAGCACAGAAAACGCCACGTTGTTTGCCGTCGCAGTCTCTGCAAGGGCGGCCAGTTCTCTTAGGCCAGTTGTGTCGCTGGTGGCGCTGTAGAGAAGTAGGAGCGAGCCGAGATCTTTAGCTTTGACGAAGCATTCTTGTGCCAGTTGCACATCCCAGTTGCTCAGCGCAGCGTCGCCCACCGTCTTCCACTTGTGCTCCGTGTCTTGTTCCCGAGCAATTGAAACGGCTTGCTGAAGATCACCCAGGGACAAGGCGAGGTCAAAGCGGTGTTCAGGGTCAGTGGCAACCTTGAGTGCCATTTCCTTGTATCCCTGACCTTCCAAGAAACGTGCAATCTTGTTGTTTTGGTCCTTTGGCACTGACGGCAAAGTCTCCTCGGCAGCCTCGAGATCACCACGGAGAATGAGCGTCTGGTACTCAACGACCGCCAGAGACAGGGCAAAAGAGACGACATTGACATCCTTGTCTGCGACGTAGATCCTTGAGTCACGAGGTAGGTATCCGAGGACATAGTGTGGTGAGTCAAAGTGCGAGATAGTGTATGTTTGGTCGCCCACAAGGTAGTTAAGGCGGTTTGTACTGTTTGTGTAGATGAAGCAGTCTCCTACCCATGTACCAGTGCGCACGCTTTGATTCTGTTAGTTCTTGCAATCATCTCGTGTGATGTGACAGCCGACTTACCTCTCGTTGATGTCGCATACAACCTCGAAAGCAGACTCGGCACCATCCTCGTCCACCTCGCCGTTCTGCACTGCCTCGAGATAATTCTCTCTTGAGTAGCGCAAGACGTAGAAAGTGTCTTCGGTCGCCAGAGTCACGAGCTCACCACTCTCAGACCAGAAAACGTTATTTGGCTCAACTTCGATCCTTCTGACCAGAGCTCCAGAATCCCAGTCGAACAGACCAATGCCGCCATGACCCTTTACACCAAGGAGAACACCACCACTCAGACCATCGGCAGAGAAGCCAACGTTTAGAACACTTCGCTCCTTGAAGTTGCGGAAGATCTTGACGCTAGTGGACGACTCCCGGATAGCATAGTCTTTGTCGTGCTCCTTCGACGCCCAGCAAAAGTCCATGGCGGAACCAAACGCCTGGTTACGGAGAGCGAGTGCAGTGTAGATAATGTACTCACCATCGCCACAAACAGCCACAAAGCGGCCGTTTGGCGAGTGGAGCAGAGCCTGTGGATAGAGCTCGGTCGAGCCGAGATCCTTGCTAGGAAGCGTGAGCCGCTCACCGTCCTTGAGCTGGTCACTGCCCTTGATGACGGATGTGAGAATGTCATTGTTCTTGGCCCAAAGCAGCTTTCCGCTACCGTCCATACTGACTGCCGGCTCCTCACGACCCATGGTAATGACGACGGCGCCATCGTCGAAACCAAGCGCAATGCCATTCTTGCCCTTTTGGTATGACACGCACCACGCGCGCTCAAGACCGTAGTTCAATGATTGTTCTAACCGGTAGGTTGAAGAATGCCAGATCTTGATTGTGCCATCTTCTGATCCCGAAACAATAACGGGGAGCTCTGGGTGGTAGACCGCGAAACTAACGTTGGAAGTGTGGCCCTCGAGGGTTGCAATGAGTGCCTTTGTGGTGTAATCCCAGACCTTGACCGTCCGATCGTCCGAGGTAGTGAGTAGGTATGGCTTGTCTGACTGAGGGTAGTAATCGATGAAGTTGACACCCTTGGTCTCGTGCGCCTCGAGGGTGAAATTGGGAGTTGAGCTACCAAGGGACCATATCTTGACCGTCCTGTCGAGACAGGCAGATGCAAATGTGTTGGGGTCCTTGGGGTTAATGGCAATGCCCATAACATAGTGCTGGTGGCCAGCAAACTCTTGTACGCCTAGTGTGTGTCAGCCCCTGCGCTCTTCTCATAGAGAATTTTTGCACATACACTTCCATGACTTGTCCCAATCCCAGAGCTTTATTGTCATATCATCCTGTGCCTACATTAGCCTCCTCCATGTGTTTCCTTAGGGTATTACCTACACTGGCGGTCAGGACGAAAGGCTGTGTTGGATGAACGGCGATGGCGCGAATGTAGTCGGGGTGGGCCTCAAAAGATGTGACCTTTTCCGAGGTGTTGTAGTTATATACGCGCAATTGAAAGTCATCAGAACCTGAATTGGCGCTTGTCAATTCCTCTTCTTGTATCCATAGGACGACTGTGTCCTACCTGCCACTATCCAGTTCTTTCTAGCGATGAAACGACCGGCGCGGACGGGCACGTCAGTGAGCTCGAACGTCTTGACAATCGACTGCGTGATGTACGACCAGATGTGGACATGCCCTGTTTCCGTCAGCACTGATACATGATTGTAGGCCCGAGGTTATGCATACCGCTGTACAAGGTGGTAAGGATCCATGGCTCCGTTGGGTGAAAGTCTTTGGCGGTATTTAGTAACGGTCATTGGTTGAGAGAGTGCAATTCCTACCGATGCCTGCAGCGTGTCAGTTCAACCCATAAGAGCTCATGCGCATTCCAAGTCCGCTTACCCTTGACACGCTCTGAGCGCGCAAAAAGCTGCCTCTATAACAAGATCCAAGTCAACAGTGGTATTCCACCATGAAAGTATTGCAATTGCGTTATGCGACGTACCTTGACGTCTAACCGCATCTTTGTAGCCCAGCTATGTTCGTTGTGGAGGGGTGGGTTATGGGAACGTGGCTTTTGTAGCCAGTCCGTACAAGCGCAGAACGAGGGGAGAGGAAGCTCGAGGCGCTAGTGCTGGAGGTTGTTTGGTGTGGAGAGGGGTAAAAGAGTGAGGAATAGGCGTCGGCGGGTTGCGTCGTAACTTACTGCGAGTCCGCAATGTGTTCGATGTCGGCGGAGCTACGCCAAGACCGCGACAGGGTTCAGGTCACTATTTCCCAACGTGGCAGTTTCTGCAGACCATAGAAAGCAGACGAAATGCGCGACACGACCGCATTTGCGCGTCACACAGCAGGATGAAGGTCATCTCGATATCCAGATGAAGCAAGGCACAGCCGTCTAAAGTGAATTACAGGCTTTGGTATTATATCAACTAATCGTACATCATCTTATTACCCCGCTGGCTCATGCGCTTGTTCATCACCATCTGGTACGCCTCTGTAGTTTGTAGACTTTTCTCGATTCTCACCAAAGACTATTTACTTGGAACTGTAACCTCCCCACAAGTGCCCCTCATTATCCATACATGCGCGATGCATGATAGATCCAGTGGACTCTATACCATGTCTCGATACCGGCATACAGTTGCCACCGCACCCATCCACAAATCGAACAGAGGAGAAAAAAAACGGTCTAGCTTTTCCGAAAGCGTAGACTGGTATCTTAGAAGAGAAATACAAGGAAAGGGAAAAAATATATGGAAAACTATGTTAGAGTATAATCTTTAGCTTTATGACAGTGTTAACGAGAGTGTCCGAACGGTAGTGACGACAAGATAAGAGGAAATTCGAGCAGCTAGATGCAGTGCAAATACTGGCCTGAATGAGGTCGGTGCGATAGATGAATGTGGACATCTTGATAAAGTGGGCAGCCGTAATGTAAATACATCAAAGGGCGTCAGACGTTGAAGGTGGCTTGCAAAGTGACAAACGTCCGGTATATGGTACAATCACTCCGCAAAGGAGTGACGTGAGAAGAGCGGCAAAAACGCCTTAGTTCCAGCCGAGAGAGTTTTCAGCCATGACGGGCGCTGAGATTTGCTGTGTCCTGATGCTGCGTCCTTGACTGGCGCTGCTGCCTCGGCTGCCAGGTGTCATACGACCGTTACGGGCACCATGCATCCAGGCAGCCGCACCACCAGGAATCGAGCCAAAGGTGTTGCGGCCAGTGCTAGGCACAGAGCTAGAGCGCTGGTGGGCCATGCGCTTGTTCCTGTATCGGCGGGCAACGAAGAACATGGCCGCACCGTAGGCAATGGCTCCAACAATGGCGCTACTAGCGACAATGGCACTGGTTGAGTTGACCTTGCGGCTGGCACCAATGTCTCCTCCCATTGCGCCACCACCACCAGATCCGCCGTTAGGAGATGAAGCATCGCCTTCGCCAGAAGAGCCACCAGAGGGACCATCAGCAGGAAGGTTGCCAGCGGCAAGTGGGCATGCGGTGTTGATCAAGTTGGTCAAATCGTTGACAGTAGAGTCCTCATTGTTCCACAAAGCAGAAGCAGGGTTGCGAAGTTGAAGTGCCAGCTTGGTCTGGAGATCTGCGGGAATGGTGAACATGGCCACGGTGGTGATGAATCCAGAGTACTCCATTGTATTGAGGGGCTTCAAACCGTAGTTCTTGACATCGGAAACAGAGATGTTCAAAGCGTCGGCAATGGCAATGGGAAGGTAGTGGAAGATTTGCTGGCCACCATCATTGGCAGAAACAAAGGGATAGTTGAGCGGCCACTTGAAGCACACTTGGCCCATGAAGGTGTTCTGTTGAATGGCTGGGGGGACACCACCGGGAGGCGCAATCATCCTTGGCAAGCTTGACGGGATGGTGCTGGCAGTAGGGCTAGCAGATGGAGTGGGCATGGAGGAGGCCTCAACGATGATGCTAGTACCCACAACCAAGGTAGTGGCGCTATCAGTTGCAGTCGCTGTAAGGGACACAATTGGGGCTACGCTGCTGACGGAAGATGGCCTGACGGGAATGATGAGTGAGGCAGATTGAGTGCGGATTGGCGAAGGGGTCGGCAAAGGAGTCTCCGATGCGGGTACTGGTGTCGAGACCACTGGTGTCGAAGTCACTGGCGCTGATACGGAACCTGTGCCAGCAGTGGGCGTAGGGAGCTCACTCTCGGTGGCATTGGTAGAGGTTTGCGGAATCAGTGTAGGCGCACCGCTGCTTGCAGAGCCTGTCGGCAGTCCCGATGATACTTCTTCAGATGCTGGCACACTCAAAGACTGACTGCTTACAGCAGATGTAACAGTGGGGGAGGCAGATGTGCCAACGGCTCCTGTGCCGGATGGAGTAATACCCGAGGCCGGAGGTGTGATGCTAGCTGGAGCAGAGGCAGTGGGTGTAAGGCCAGTCGAGGAGAGAACCTCGGAAGTAGGTACACCAGACGAGACAGGTGTGGAAGCTGGGACTGGTACAGATCCAGTTGGCACAGTACCTGAGGAGGGAAACACTCCAGACGATGGCAGGATCTCTGACGCGAAGCTCGAGGCCGAGACAGTGGGAACGACAATAGGCTCACTAGTAGGAATGCCAGTACCAACAGACGAAGCCAGCGAAGAAACGATTGTAGGACGCAGGCTGGCATCGCCGGAAGTAGGCACCGGAGTGGGGGCAGTGGAAGCAAGGCCTGTACCTGAAGGCAGGATGCCTGATACATCAGGTAGAATGGACGAGCTTACAAACTGCTCTGGTTGTACAGAGCTAGTGGCGGCAGCCTCTGAGGTGGGAATAGGTCCCGAGCCAAGGGGCTGAGATGGGGTCGGGGAAGCAGATCCTTGAGTGCCGAGAGCAGTAGTGATTCCGATGAAGATTCCCGAAGATGGCAGAGGTGACTCCACGCTTGAAGCGCTGGTGGGAAGAACGATAATGTCAGGGATTCCTCCAGTCGAGCCAGTGTCTGGGCTGGGCGTAGGAAGGACAACCAATGGAGTGCTGGTGGGCAGAACAATGATGTCAGGAATTCCTCCAGTCGAGCTACCATCGGGGCTGGGTGTGGGCAGAACGATCAAGGGAGTGCTCGTAGGGAGGACGATGATATCAGGAAGCCCGCTAGCGGAGCCAACTTCGGGGCTAGGGGTAGGAATAGCGTTAGCGGGGCTGCTTGTAGGAAGCACAATGATGTCGGGGATTCCTCCCGTAGAGCCAGTCTCAGGGCTAGGTGTAGGAAGAACACTAGCAGGGCTGCTTGTAGGAAGCACAATGATGTCTGGGATTCCTCCAGTCGAGCCAGTAGGGAGAGCGCTGACAGGGCTGCTTGTAGGAAGCACAATGATGTCGGGAAGTCCGCCAGTTGAGCCAGTACCAGAGCTAGGTGTGGGAAGAGCGCCATCAGGGCTGCTTGTAGGAAGCACAATGATGTCGGGGATTCCTCCCGTAGAGCCAGTCTCAGGGCTAGGTGTGGGAAGGACAATCAAGGGACTGCTAGTAGGCAGAACAACAATGTCTGGGATTCCTCCAGTAGAGCCGGTAGGGAGAGCGCTGACAGGGCTGCTTGTAGGAAGTACAATAATGTCGGGAAGCCCGCCAGTTGAGCCAGCACCAGAGCTAGGCGAGGGAAGCACAATCAACGGTGTGCTAGTGGGAAGCACAATGATGTTGGGAAGCCCGCCAGTAGAACCAATGTTGGAGCTAGGTGAAGGTGAAGGTGAAGGCTCAGGAACATTCTCGGAAGCGGGTTGAGTCGATCCTGGGACAATGAAAGGTCCAAGGAAGCTTGATGACTGAACCGAGGACGGCTGAGCAGAAGGGGCAGGAGATGCAGTAGGAGTCACTACTGTCTCGGGAATGCCTCCAGTAGAACCAACACGCTCTCCAGTCGATTGAGAAGCATCCGATGGAGTGTTCGGAGTGGGCGACACAATGACATCGGGCAATCCACCAGTCGTAGCAGTGGGGCTTGAGACGGGCGCATCGGGAGTTGGCTTCACAACATCTGACGGTTGCTCATCCGGAGTAGATGATGGGCTCGGGCTGGAAGGTGTAGGCAGCACAATGATGTCGGGAAGCAGACCGGTAGAACCAAAGATTGGAAGGATGGGGGTAGGCTGGGGTTCAGGCTCCGGCGATGGCGACGGAGTGGGTTGAGGCTCCGGCTTTGGCTCTGGGGACGGGCTTAACTGAGGCTTAGGCTCGGGAGACGAAGTAGGCTGAACGATCACCGAGGGAAGACCGCCTGTCGAGCCAGCTGGGGATGGCTGCGATGGAGTAGGCTGAGGCTCAGGAGATGGCGAGGGACTGGGCTGAGGCTCAGGAGATGGCTCTGGCTCTGGAGTGGGTTCAGGCGCAGGTGATGGCGACGGCGACGGCGACAGCGACGGTGTAGGCTCAGGTGACGGTGATGGACTTGGCTGAGGCTCAGGCTTTGGCTCTGGAGATGGCTCTGGCGAGGGAGTTGGCTGAGGCTGAGGAGTAGGTTGAGGCTCCGGCGATGGCTCAGGGGAAGGAGTGGGCTGCGGCTCCGGTGATGGTGACGGACTGGGCTGCGGCTCAGGCGACGGCGATGGAGAAAGATTGGGTGTCGAGGCGGGCACCTGTACCGAGGGAGCCGGGCTGTCAGTCGTAGACTCAGGGGCACCGGATGGAGACAAAGGCGCAGTAGAGTTCACTGGGGGCAGCGTGGGAAGGACCTCCAAAGGGGCGTTGGGAGTAACATCAACATTGTTTGTGTTAACGACCGGATCCGACGAAGTCGACAGGGCCGACTTGTCAGATGAGCCACGGAACAGAGTCTCAATAAAGGAGGGGAAATCAAGCTGACGAGACGAGAGCTGACCAGAGGTGCTTTGTTCCGAGGAAGGAGATGACAACGGTGGTGGTGCGGTCGCGTTGATGTCGTCTCGCTTCACGTGGCGTGGAAAGTAGTATCGAGGGCGATCCTGTGCTTGTCCAGGCCCTGGTGCGGGCATGGCCTCGGCAGTGGTGAGCAGTGGGCCAGAGCCAGACATGCTGGCCATGAAGAGGGCGGCCGCCCAGATGGTTGAAGATCGTGGCATATTTACGATTATGTCCCCGTGCTATGGATGATGATTAAGTGTCTAGCGGATGGTCAAAGGCGGAAAAAGCCTTTGGAGCCTAAGGATTGTCAGGTCACGACGCGTGCAATTGGAGTGGGAGGGAAAACAGACTGTCAGGGTTGTGGTAAAACGAGTGGACTTGACGATTGTCAATGTGGGTAAAGAATGGACCTGTTTGTCGGTCAGCATGGTGCCTGAGAGGGGGAACGCGACAAGGGCAGCAGCGTCACTCACTAGACTGTCAGTGCAGCTAGAATTAACGCAAAAACACTAGCAATAGTAGTGATGGCTTCGTCGCAATGAATCGTGAGATTGTCGCGAAATCTATGCCGTCATGTTTGACAGTGACGGGTTCCAGAAGACAGTCGTCACGCAGGGTCGGATGCGCGGTACGGACCAGCGTCAAACAAGAGTTTGGTAGACAGGTGGGTGTCAACCGGTAACCGAGCGTAGAGCAAAGCGTCGCAGTCGTCGATCAGGGCACAGGAATCCAGGGTGGGTTCGAGAACAATGACGATGGTCGCAGAGTGGGCAGAGTGGTGATGAGGTTGCGACAGGGTGGGGTTGCTTTGTTCCTGGCTAACGGGGAGGCTTGCGCGTCTTGAATGGGTCCAGCGGGGCTGAAGCGCGCGTTGGAGTCCGGAGCTTGTGCTGGCAAAAAGGAACGAGGGCGACGGTTGGCAAGAAGCAAGGGGGGCTGATTACGGCGGAGGAGCGATGGTTGCGAGAGCAGAGGTGGGATTCAAAGGAGCGTTTGTGATTCGGAGAATCGGTGGGTGGTGAGAGAGGGAGAGAATGGGTAGAGAGAGCGTAAGGCTGCGTGCTTGTCGAAGGGGCGCCACGGGAGGGGGGGTTGAAGCAACGGGCGGCTTGGTGGTGCGCGCAGAGTCGGTGGAGGGAGAGGGCCCGGTGAGAATTGTCGGCTGAGGGTAGAGGAAGAGTCGGCTTGGGGAGGCAGCGCGGGCGACGGGACGGTGAAGAGGGAGAAGGAAGGGCAATGCCGGCGTCAGCAGCAGATGTCGCCCAGGTGTCGAGGCCAAAACGGCGGCTGGCAGGGACAAGCGTGGCTAACGTGTGCACCCTGCAGGAGAACCAAGGGCTCCAGCAGCTCGTGACTAGCGGTGGCTTGGGAGCTTCCAGGAGGGGAAAAGACAGGGTTTGGCGCGGCGGGTGTGTGCATTCGATATTCGATAGTGGCCAAATATAACGCCGCTTTGCTCGACAGGGCGTAGTCGCGTCGTCGGTTGCGCTCGTCGAACGGTGGTGAAGGCTTGACAGACGCAAAATGCTGAGGACAGTGGGAGTAGAGTTACGGGCAAGGGAGAGAGAGAAGGAGAGGAGAGGGCAGGCAGGCAGGCGCAGCGGCTGTGGCCACACGCATCCGTCGCGTCCACCTATAGCATGCGTGGTGCAAATTGCAGTCGGCGGCCACTGTTGTGCTTGTGGATGCGGATTAATTTGCATCTGGCCGGCAAAGCCCTGGTCGTGCAGACGGTTGTCGGTTGTGTGGTCAAACAGCACTAGGCAAGGGAAGGGGAGGAGGATGGGGGGGACGGGCAACCCCGGTTCTGTCTCCCCAAGCTGGCAAGATGGGCAGAAGCGGCGGCGAGGGCGAGAGCGAGAGCGACGGCGTTGGTGCAGAGGCCATGGCGATGATGCGACACAGAGGCTGCAGTCTAGACACGCTCGCTGATCGTTTCTCTGTCTCTCTCTCCCGTCTCTGTCATGGAGGGCAGCCTCGCCGGGGCCAGGGCAGGGGCCAGTGGGTACTCGGCTAGCCGGCCAATGAGCGGGCAGCATCGTGGAGCCCTTCATTTCGGTAAAACACGGGACCCGCAGCTGGCGGCGAATGACGCTGATCTCTGCCCTCTCACTCTGCCCTCTCACTCTCCCCCCTCTCCCCGGCATGCAGAAGAGAGTGAGAGCATTTGCTGGGCCATGACGGTTGGCTTGACATGGTCCATAATTACGCCCAACCTTCCGCCCGCTGCTGACATGCACATGGCTGGTTTGACTTTGCTAGCTATGTTAAGTACTTGTTGTACATGTCCATACTGGTCTAGTAAGTGTGCAAGTAGAATTGCACTCACCCTCTCACTCACTGACTCACTTACTTCCTTCCTTCCTTCCTTGGAGCGGTTTGCACCGACATGGAATTAGATGCAGGGTCAGGGTGAGGGTGCCACGCCGCCCCTTCAATCACGCCCTCTCCCGCTGCGCTGCCGTTCCATGGTGCGCTTTCCATCTTCGCCCGCCTGTGCAGCCAGATGGTGCACACGCCTGCATTAGCAGTCTTTGTTAACTGGAGCACATGGTTTTTTCAAATGGGCCATTCCTACCACTGACAAGGCCCAAGGTTCGCCCTAGGCAGGTGGGCGGTTTTGGCTTCTGCTCGCCGCTCGCCGCTCCCAGCTCCCAGCTTGGTGCCGTGCCCGCTTGTGCGTGGGCCTGCTCCTGCTGCTGCTGTGTCGTGCGGGACATGGATCAGCCCCTGTCTGTGCCCCCCCCCCCCCCCCCAGCCCAGCCCAGCCCATGGCTATCAACCTGCGTCGGCTGCCAACGCCGGCTGCTGCTGTTGCTGATGCTGATGCTGATGCTGCTGTTGTCACGCACTTTACAGGCACAGCCGTTTGCCGTCGTGGGCAGCAAAAAGCAACCCTCTTGCACGCCGTTGTCAATTCCAACGCCGCCGCCGCTGCTGCTGCAGCTGCACCACATACCACTCCACTCCCGCTCCCGCCACAACTGCCGTGCTCAAGACTACACACACCGTGTACTGTCTACTGTGTACATACCACACTAAAAGTAATCGGGCCCAGACTCGATCCTTCCCCCCGGATCAGTACAACAGGCAGGAACCACCGTCACCACCGTCACCACCATCACCACCATCACCACCATCACCACCATCACCACCGTATCGCACAAACACACAGAGCTCAGGGTCCTCACAGCGCCTGCCGATCCCCTCTCTCTCAGCCTAATTAGCCCTCATGGCACTTCCCAATCCAGTCACCTGCCTGTTGCTTCCGCTTCCCACTGCGCAATTTGATAGCGTCATGACCGCAATCACTAGTCCAACCACTATCATCACGTCTCCATCTATTGGACTATCTTCTGACTCCAATAACCAGATCGACATGACTCCGCTATCTACTATGTACATCCGCATAAACGTTTCGATTCAGTACTGACATGCCCACTTCGCTTCCCTACTCATGGTCACACACACACTGTCTCTCTCTCTATGCTGTTTCTTCTTCATGACCCATAATAGTCATGCATCTTTATGCTCTTCCATTCGTCATCTCCTTTTACTCCACACTAGCCCCGGCCCTTTTTCCCACATGCACATGCTATTGACAATACTTGTCCATACTTATCTCGTCTAGTCCAATGCGCCTCATACTTTGTTTCCTGTCAGACCCACCTCCCGACTGAGCCCCTTCGCTGTCTGTCATTGTTTGTCCATCGACTGGGTCCCTCGAAACGCGTCCCGTGTCGCCGTCACCACCATTCCTGTGGCGCAGCCACCCGCATGAATACAAGACCATAGCCTCTGAATACCACTTTCTCTCCATTGTCCCATTTGACCCATCCTCCCCCCCCCCCCAAAGCCCCGAATGTCAGCCTCGTATACCGTACGGCCGTTTACGGTGTAGCATTCGGCCCAACCAACCTGTTCATTTACTGCTCAACGACACCTCGTCATCTTCTCGGCCTTGCCCAGCATCCCGCAACACGAGTTTCAGCATGCCAGCGATGCGCTTACTGCCGACACTGCCTCACCCACATATTAGCTTTGTACCGCTTATTCACTCCTCTCCATCCCTGGGTGAAAAACAAAGGTAATCGCGTCAGGTTCCTTCGGCAACAATCCTACCGTATTACATGTTATTAAACCCAACCTGCCCGCTTCCGCATCAGGAAATCCCCTTGCTTCTTCTGCCTCTCTCTACTTACGTACCATTACGTGGACAATCCCCTTGCTCCAACCTAAACACCACCAGTCTCGAATTTGTCCTGAAGCCTGTTCAATGTGACACGCTTAGCATGTGCTCGATATAGGCTGTAGAAACAACCTTAAAGGCCGACTTCATGCCTGATAGACTAATATTAGTATACACTATCCTACCGCCTGGTCCGTAGAACAAGTCTAGAAAAAGTTCGCTTTGTCCTCCAACACGTCGTCTTGCTTGGCAGCATGTGAGATTGGAGCAAGCAGACTATTCAGCATGGTCATTCCCAGATCATCTGTGAGGTCGCCGTACTCCCTGTAATGGTTCTTGCCCAATTCATGATAAAGAATGCTTGCACAATAAACTAAAAACGGAAATGAATATCTCAATAACAAAAGTCAGATAGATATGCCAAGACTCAATCACGTGATATGTGCTCTCAAGCTATTGACTGATACAATAAGTATGCAAATACAACAAATAATAGATATGGTGATGAAAGTTGAGCATTTCTTTGATGGAACATGAGAAACATCAAGCTGGTTATAGAGGCTGTGTTTGCTTCGTCCATGTGGAAATTGTGTGGAAATATTTCATGTATCATTTACTTCACTTCTTATTCGAAAAAAAACCCCTACGCCCATAGTTACATTTTACATTGGAAATCAAATGATTTTCGATGATATATCACGATCAAATTCCATCGTTCATTGGAGTATTATCTTGTCTCAATGCTCAAGTAACTTTGTGGTATCATTTTAGACTTGTTAGATGAACCAGTTGATATAAGAATATAAAAATTGCACTTCTTAATATTCGCTACAAGCACTCAACAGTGACTGAATCCAGTTCAAGAGAGTTGTTTACGATGGACTCTGGTCGTGTGACTCTAACCTCTTTGCTAATGCAAGAAACTTGACGACTTTGTTAACATAATATCTCCATGTATCTACTCACTTTTCAAATCATACACAATATGTATTCTCAGATCCTTTTTCTTTACGCTCCCCATTCTCACTCCCTCATATAACCTCTCTGACTATAATAAATCTGAACTCCCCCAGTATGCTTTGCATCCACTCGACTACCTTCTTCCCTTCAGCATAACCCGACTTCTCGTAATCATTGCTGTCCATCAACACTTCACATCATTTCTCCCAACATGGTCTAGCGACTCCATCACATCACTTCGCCAAAGAATTCAATTTTTTATGCGCCGCTCGTTTTGTAACGTGTTATAGATACCGAAGTGAAAAAAGCTCTCTACAGTTACCCTGAGAATAGTACGGTATACGAGATCATTTTTTTGCCAATCCAAAAATCATAGCAAAAGTCAAGATAGAGCAATTTTGCGCATTTCTATCGGATGGGATACCATACCCTGATTAGTGACTGCAAAATCCGCTCTGTATCTCAGCTCTAGTACTATCACATGATTCCTCAACAATTATTCTAACCCCTCACTCACGACACTATCTCTCAAAACAATACAGCGGACACGGTCCGAACTGAGACATCATACGCCACAAATAGAATAAAACGTGTCTCCCCGCCTAGGATACCCAAGCGAGTTATTGCATAACCTAGACAAATGCAAGCATGTTGCAACGTCGCGAATGCGCTTGACATCATTCGGGACTTGAGCAACACTGCCGATCAAATCAAGTAGACTATTGCATCACCCTCATTGAGCACAAGTACGAGTAAAGCTTACAGACGTTGTAGGATGCAGTCACATCATAGGAGGGGTTCCGTTGCCGATCTCTACCAGGCTAAATGCTGGCATGCACCCACACGACGTTGCGGCTGAACCCTGAAAGCGCGAGGCTGGTTTGGTCGGATCTACATTGACATCACAGCCACAGTCAATAAATATGCATATAGACCTGCGTCGAGTACGAGTTATAACCATCACCACCTCAGGAAATCGATAAAAAATAAACTCCCGCTGCTTTCCTATCGTCACAGCCCTGCCGCGTCGTTCCGCGAACTCGTCATCACAACACTCACCATGCGCACCATCTTCACAGCAGCAGCGACAGCAGCATTCTGCTCTCTCGCCTCCACCCTCCCAACATCCAACCTCACCCCACGAGCAGGCGGCCCGGCGATCGTACCCATCCCCTCCACCTGCACCGTCACACCACTCGCTCCGCCCAGCAGCAGCAGCAGCAGCAACAACAACAACAACAACAACCAGTCCTTCCTCCCCGCCCCCGGCACCGCCGACGCCTCCCTCTACAGCGCATACTATCCCTCCTTCTCCTCAAACAAAACCCAAATGGCCCAGCAGTGCCTACAACAATGTTACGGCTACGGCGACCACATCGAGTGCAAAACTGCGTTTTGGGCTGAGAATGTGGTTGTGCCCCCGGGTTATTATGGGACTGAGGGTGGGTATCTGGCTACAGCTTGCTTGATGTTTGATCGCGTGTTGAGTGAGGGGGATTTTGTCGGGGCGCCCCAGGGGCAGGGGACTGGGGCTTTTGCCGCGACGGTGGAGTGTTGATGTGATGATGGGATGGATGAGTTGGATGAATACGTAATGATTTCGCTTGTAACGTGTTTTTCTTTTCAGAAGCGACGTACATTTAGAATAAAACTTAATTCAAAAGTCATACATAATGGATAATGCGAGACCGATGAGTGCCCCTTGCGGACATACTTTTGCGGGGAACCTCTGAACGGTGTCTCGATTTTGCAAACAGCAAATACTTAGTAAACCTATACTTGGCTAATTAACGAAATTCCTCAGCTTCTTAACTAAAAAAGCAAATAGGGTTCATATAAAGAAAATATATACCAATGACGTTTCGCCGATTCATACAAATCCGTTTTCTTTCTTTTTTCGACAACATCAGATCGAACAGATACAAAACATGTGCATGCTTGAGAAAATAAAATCTCAACCTCATGTTCAATGCGAATGCGCAACCGACTCTTTTCTGTCATATCCCTTTGCTAAATTACCGTAAAATTTCGGATCTCGGATCACTCCTTGATATTCCATGATACCGTAGCTTGCAACCACTCGTATCTGCAAGCACAAGCAATATCGTGCTACTACTATACCGCTTGATTCATCTCCCAACTAAACTCACTACTCGCGTGACCAAAACAACCCAACTCTTGTCCACCCCGTATCGCTAGCACACTCCTATTCCCCATCCCACACCACTTCTTCATACCTTCCTAAACCAAAAACCTCAACAAATCGTATCCCCATCTATCGCCGTCAACAACGTACGACTATCATACGACTTCCTCTTCGTATACTACTAAACCCTCTCCTCAGACCACTCCAAGAACCCCAAGACCAAAACCATCAGAAAGAGCCGCAACCGTTACAAAGCCATGTAACATCCTACACCCATCTCAGGGTCCATACCATACCACGGTACAGCCACCCCCTCTAGCCCTCATTCCATCCCGCAACTACATACCCCTTCGGTCCCAAACTTCTCTTCTCTTAGTTTTGTCATCGACCACGCCACTTCCTCACGTGACATGTAGTACCGTACATCACTCGTTCCTGGGCATTTCTTTGCGCCACTTGGTCTACTACGCCACTATCATACCACCGCCGCACCTACTACTGTGGCGGCTCAAGAAACCAGACTAGTAGAGTCGATTACTAGTACGGGAATCCCGACGTTGACGCGCCTTATTTTAGTACTACCAACTACTTACCCCATCTACGTAATTTGGCCCAAGAAAAAAAAACCCTTTTTTTTTTTTAAAAAAATCAAAGAAAGAAAGAGACAGACGATGGATAGTTACGCAGGCTACGGGGAGGCCGGGGGGAGGTGGAAGCTAGGACGGATGAGGGAGGTTGTGCCGATTGCACTGGCTTTTTTGTTGCGCATATGGCACTTGTTTGATGGAGCTGGAGACACTGCCTTCAGCCGTGTAGAATGGCAAGTGTACGCGGGATGCGGGTATTGCAGGTGGGCTAGTACGTTAGTGGGGGATGTTTAGCGAGAGGAGAAAAGAGAGGTAGTTAATGTGGAGTAGACATGTGTAAGTATGTGGTGTGTTTTGGCCCCCAGAGGATTTTTTTGGGGCATCCGACATTTGGCATGGGCTATTTGTGTACGATGATGATGATAGTGCAGTTGGCGATTTAAGAAAGCGGTCTGCATGTCTAAAATTATTTTGTGGTGTTGGGTGCAAGACATGTGTTTTTAGCTCGACGGTGAAAGAGGCGCAACACGTGAGCTGGGTAAATGGAAGAAAGTCGGGTTCGGGTACCTGTCCCGCGCATGCAGCATCAACCTACCAACTTTTACTTTCCCTTCAGCCTCGAAATTCTTGTCTGGCCTTGCGTTTCGTCCGTACTACTCTCGCTCTAAAACTGCATCGAGTCTTTTTCATTCCCCGATCTCTGACTGACATCCTTCTCTTTTTTTTCTCAAAGAGGAAGAGAAGAGAAAAAAAATGACCATTACCCATACACGGCAATACCCATTCGCTTGCCTGCAGCCCAGAACCCCACCCACGGAATACCAAAATAACTCCAGCTCCCGGGCCACAATCACCTACGTGTAATGTCCTTGCTGCCCCCCCCCACCTCGCTTGACCAGTTTTTGTAAGTATGTACTCCACCACACGCTCAGTCCAACAACAATCTGTGGGGTCAGCAAGAAAAAAAAAGGGCGAAAGAAAGTCGGGTGGTAAGAAAATCGTCATGTACACTAGTCCAAACTTAGTCCTCTCTTGCCCCAAATTCAGCTCCTGCATTTCATCCCTTTGAAGCAACAAAAAGCGAAAGAAGGAACAAAAAAAAGTAGTAAGTAAGTACGTAGGTAAGTAAGCAAGCGTCAAGCGATGCTCACTCGGCCATCCCGCCAATTCATGTCTCAGATCTTAAAAAGAAGAAGCGAGATACAAATTAAGATACACGTACATGTAACATGTGAGACCTTGTTTTTCCCTTTTAGCACAGAGGCAAGCTAGCTAGCTAGCTCGCTAGCACGTAGTCAGGAGACTGAGGCCACCAAGTCAGGGCGGGTAGAAAGTAAAAAAAAATAAAAACGAGAAATGCCATGTATACTACTAGTATCACTACTACTGCTACTACATGATAATTTCCAGTAGCCTCCAAAGTAGGCGACTTAGCCCAAACTTACTCGTTCTCAACCTAGCCTTTGGATTGGCGGAAATGTCCGCATGGGACCCTCGCAGTGACGGATGTAAAATGGAATAGAGAAAAAAAAAACAAAAAAGAGACAAGAGGCTGATGATGAGACTGGATTGAAAACTAGTCAACTGTTAACTTGACTTGCATACCGGCTTTTGCTGACTGTTCGGCCTGCTATATCGGGATACGAGCCCGTGGCTTGCTCTAGCGCAGGAAGCGACTTATGGGGGCGCCGGCGGCCGGTGCGCGCGGTGGAGTCGAGACAAGCGGAATGCGGTTATTTGGGATTTTTTTTAGGGCTAATCCGGGTGCAAGGGTCACGGGTCCGTGGGAGAAGGTGGGTAGGTAGCACGCAAGAGGTACAGTAGTAGTAGTCCTAGTTGGGCTAACGCGAGATATGTGTGTATGTAGTGTGGAAAAAAAAAGTTGATTCTATGGCATTATGGTTTCCTATCAAACAAAATAACTATTTCGGCCGTAGCTGCGTCAAGGAATTCCCTGTGGTCTAAAAAAGGTATTTACGCTTCCCAACAAAACAAAGACTGTGGTTTTTGTTCGTCGTGAGCGAGCGAGCGCCAGAGTCATTGTATGTAACCTGGCCAAATCACAAACCCCAAAGCAAAAGCGCTGCAAAAGAACAATCGTCGTGGAAGCGTGGCGAGAAGAAGGGGTATACAAGAATTGAAGTGATGCAACAAGCGATGGTGGAAGAAAAAGACATTGCTGGCTGATCAGGAAACAGCTTCAGTCTTGACCGGTGTCGTACTCTTGAACTCGCCGTGCAGGATTTCGAGTAGTTTTCGTAGAGTGTCTGAGTTTGTGCTGCATCGACGTGTGGAAGTGCCGTCCTCATCTTCGCCCTCGGCATCGTCATCCTGCGTGAGCAGCTCAATGGTTTTCCGGAGCTTCTCGTACGCAGCGTTGAGTTCAGAGTGGGAAACTTCGAGCTTGCTGTACTTTTCGTTGAGAATGGAAAGTTGGTTTTCAAGATCGCGTGCATGCTTTTCTTTTCGCTCACGGAAAGCGCGCTGGGCAGCACGATTTTGAGCTCGTCGGCGCTAGTATTTGTTAGATCGGATGCAAAGTATTTTTTTAAAATCAGACTTACGCCAGAGGTTGTGTGTGTTCGCTCAGCTGGGGCGGGGGTGTGCACGGCTCCAAAGGTTGGCTCAACATGTTGCAATGGTCGGGGACTGCAGTATGGGCTGTCGTGGTCGGATCCAAAATCCGATGGAGTCATGGGCATTGGATATGATCCAAACTGCACGGGCTCGTCGACAATCTGAGGATAGTATGCATGCTGTATTTGGGCGGGAAATTGGTCATATGTGGAAGAAACCTTTTGGATATGAGTTTTGAGGAAGACGGCACTAGCATGATCAACTACTTACGGGCGATCCGCTGAGACTGGGGACTTTGGACAACTCTGGGGGCATGTCGAATACGGTGGTCTGATGCGGGGGAACAACGTAGTTGCTCTGGGCCATCCAGTAGTCAAAAGAATGGGAGTCCATTGCAGTGGTAGTTGGGTGTGCTGTAAGCAGTGACGAGAAGAATGGTGGTGGTGGGGTGATTAGTAGGTCTGGTAGTACGTATGGCAAGGCTGTGAGTGCGGGTAAGTATGGCGTGCGATGGTGATGTCTGTCTAGGCAAGTTTGCTTATGTGGTGAAGAAGGCTTACACAACGGTGGGCAAGCTGAGATCTTATACAGGAAGCGCACGACGGGCATCGAGTGCGTCGACGTACTAGTCGGTAGAGATGGTGGCCGAAGGCTTGGACAGGGATTTGGGGAAGTCGATACCCATGTCCATGTCCATATCCATGCCCATGGGCATGCCACCATGTCGGCTTCCAACGGCCACAGCGGAGCCTAGACATGTGGCGCTGAGCGAAAATACGTGCATAAGGCGAGCCTGACGCTTGCCTTTGCGTGGGACTGTCGCAATACTTTCGGCCCACGCGTCCGGGGGCACAGACCAGGCGTGCAGCGGGCATCCCAAGATGTTGTTATTCTCGTCGAGGAATGGCTCGCCAGGTTGGACCACCGATTGCCGCGGGCCAGGGGCGTGCATGGAGGCGTGCGCTATGCTGGTTTGAGTGTTTGATAAAAGATTGGCAGGCCTGCTGCTGAGCTAACCCGCACATGTGCAGCACGCACGCCCGTCATTTGTGCCCGCCTTTGGCAGCATCCCAAAGGTGCCTGGGCGTGTCTTTGGGAGAAGACGGCCGCTGACCATGCGCGGTAAGGCTGAAGGAGGGCAAGGGCGAGGGTGAGGGCGAGGGAGCGGTGGCGAGGGGCAGTGTGGATGTAGGGAGTGGTTAGCAGGTGGTAGCACTGGTAGGCAGGTAGTAGTGTAGTGTACACCCACACAAGTGGGATGGGCTGTTCACATGCAGACCCGTGGGTGGTGTCCGGGACCGTCTCTTGAGGGTTGATGGTACACTAGCCAACGACAGGAGGGCCCGGTGTCGCTATCGCTGCAGTGACGTACGGAGCCCGGGGGTGGCCTTCAGCTCGTCTGCATGTGTTGCTGGTGGGTGAGGGGGAGGGCAGGCGTAGGCGTAGGCGTAGGCGTAGGCGTAGGCGTAGGCGTATGCGTATGCGTACAGTATACAGTGACAGCAACAGCAACAGCAACAGTAGGCCGAAGTTCGGTCGGGGTCACGTGTCGTTCGCGCTAGCCACAGCCAGCCACAGATGCAGCCGCTCTCCAATTCTGTCACCGCCCTTCGGCCTCGCTTCAACACGACGACGGCGAGCTCACGGAGCCGAAAGGGCGCCTGCGTGGTGCACACAATAGCCGGCCTCAAGCCGCTCCAAGCGGCGACTCTGCGATAACAGACAGCCCTGCATCATCTTGCCGACGGACGAGCACCATGCTGCGATGCGACTAGTATCGGCGACTGAGTGCTACTGCTTGCTTGCTTGCTTGCTTGCGACCAGATCAGACCAAATCAGACCAGACCAGACCAGACCAGACCAGACCAGACCAGACCAGACCAGACCAAGGCAGGCCGTTGTGTCTTGCTGCCACTCACCATGTCAAGGGGACAATGCCGCAGATATTCGGCCGGCAGTGTCTTTGTGAAAAGCACGCATTATCGCGTGTGGTTGATGGCTGCTAGCATCTGCCACGCTCCATCGGTCAGAGATGGCCTGTCGAGGCTGGGGATTGGCGGGCAGACGTGACTGGCACTGGCACGTGTTACCCTCGACTCTACCAGTCCACGTAAGCGCCGTAGCCATGACTTATCAGCAGCCTCTTCCATGTAACATCGCTGTAAGCGACCGCTACCTGTCTGCTCCCACCGTGCGACTATTGTACCCTCCCCACGCCACCTCCGCGGCGCTATCGACTCATTCTCCATCATTCTGCTCCCCCAAAAGCAACCCGTTACCCCCGTTTGCCCCCGTTGACCGGTGCTGGCCGCTAACACTTGTATACACTACACTCTCACTCTACACTGATGCACCGCCTACTCTGGCCACAAAAGTCGCTCTCATGTGTGCCGTGTCGTATGACTTGCACATATATTTGCACCAATCCACGTGGTGGTCGAGTAGGCCACAGCCCTACCTACGGCCTTCTGCTACCACCAAGTACGCTAGACTACTGGCTGAAAAGAGTAATTTTGCTTTGGGCAAACAAGATGGCTCCGGTGACGTAAAATCCTCCATCGAGCCGTCTGGACTCTGGCCCCGGCCATTCCCCTCGCTTGGAAAGCCCATCCGCTGCCAATCCCGTTGACCACATACGCATATGCACTGCCAGCTAGCCGCATGCCGTAAAGATCATCGGCCGCTGCAGTACCTCTCCTCTACACATATGCCTACAGCAGCTGCTCTGAACACAATATGCATATGGCTATCTTATCTGATTTGCATTTCTTCCATCCAATGATTCGTGGCCCGTGCGACCTGCAAGCAAGCCCGCTCCAACATATCTCCTACCCTGCGTACATAATCGGTCCTGCAAGACGAAACCACTCGACATGGCCTGCCCCGCTGCTGACACAACTCTCCTGCTGCACCGTAAAGCACCAAGCCTACCCAGCCGGCTAAACTGTCAGCAACAGCAGCAACTCCCCAAGCAACCCTTTTGTACCACCAAATTTAAGCGACTCATGGGGTTTGTTGCTGCTCTTCCGCGTTGTCATGTACCCGCTCCGGGAACTATCGACACCCACTAGTCCCAGCCCGTGAATTGTTAATGCAAGTCTTCTGCATTCATCAACACAGCCGTCTCAATAACAAGCACTGAAGGATTCCCAGCACCTGACGCTTGTCTGGTGAGAACGCCTAACGACCACGAGTCGAACTGCATTTATTTTCCTCATTTCACCCCCAGCCTATCCATTTCGCCTTATATAAATATCTTAGCACAGTCCCCAATCGTCATAGCGTCTTGGGGCTGGCGCATCTCAGGGTCCAGTGCCAGGCCAGTCCGGCGGACGCCAATCCAGCCCTACAAAAGCACTGGGACATTGTTGCTTTTACTGACTGACGCTGGCTGCTTGCTTCCGATACTCCATGCTCCAGATTCATCGTACGACAGACACAAGCTCGCACCATGTGCATGCCAAGCTTTTCCGTGGCATCTTGACACGCGGGGAACTCGTCGTTGAGGATGGGGGAGAAAAAGCCAGCCACCATCGGACATCCGTCATGGTTGGATACTCTATGCATCTGTATTGGCAGATTACGCCTTGTGTATACACCAGCGAATATCCTATTGTGGATCGTAGTCTTCCCTACGATGTCCCTCATTCCTTTCGCTTGAAGCCTTCCCAACACTTGTTTCTTCTCGCTTCTTGGTAAGCTTCGCACTCGCATCCCGCTTTCGTTATTTCTGCCTCTAGCAGCGATCCGTCCGTCACTTGTCCTTTCCCGCCAGCTGCCCTCTTTTCTCCCCTCCTAAAACAAAACCGCACCGGAAAGTCACTCAAACGTACATATTTGCCGATGATGCCCGACCACCGTACGCGTCAACGGGACGCCTGGAAATGCTTGCCTGCGGATTCCGCGTCTGCCCGTAACCTCACAAACTCCCTAGGACATGCCTTGTTGGAAAATACCTCACTACCGTCATTGTACCATCTTACACAAAACTACGTACGTATGTATGCTAAACCGCCCGTGCACGCCTTCATCCCCCAGACAAGACCCCCCTCCCACCGCTCGGAACCGACCCGCAACCGAGTCTTCACCTGTGGCTTGCACTTGTAGCACACCAACAACCCATGTCAGCGACACAATGCAAGACCAAACCACATACTTCTTCCTCTCTCGCGTAAGCAGTACCCGGCCAAACCACCCAATCAAACCCCTCCCCTCCCTCTCTCTTCTCCAGAAGCCACAAAGACCAAGTCGACCCAAGCTGCAGCCAGCAAGGGTCTTATTACACACATACATATTCCAACTGCAGCAATGGCTGGTGGGTGATCGGTGCGTTCCCTTCCATGCATCCTTCTAGACGCAACCATTTTCCCTTTGCCTTTTTGTCTCATTGTTGGGCGAGGGAGACTGCGGGTGTGCGTGTGTGTGTGTATGTGCGTGAAAAGCCTTTGACGTCAGGATGCAGGGACATGCATGGGTGTGTGTATGTGGATTTTTGAGCCTCAACTTTTGCTTCTTCTTCTTCCTCCTTGACTTGGTGCGCTGACGTGAGGTTGGAAGAGTATCTTGAGGCGAGGAAAGCTTGGGTACGCTTGTTGCTTACTTGGATGCTTGCGTGTGTAGAACTGGGCGCAGCGAGAGATATGGCGACGTCACTGCGTGGATTGGGCAGTTACTTGAGGGAGGCTTGATCAGCATTTGTTCATGTGGTTAGAGTAGAGTGCTACGGTTGGACTTTGACCGTGCATCTTCTCCTCATCCCTCCTACTCAACCCCTTACTCTCTCTCTCTCTCTCTCTCTCTCTCTCTCTCTCGTCTTTCATGTCTCCACCACCGGCTATCGAAGCACATATCGAATGTGAGAATGTAACGAATGAACAAACAACAGACACATTAAAACACTTGTGTCCACTTGAAGCAAATGTGACTGCTAAGCCATACTTCAACAATCCATTTATCAAATCCCACATCAATATATACACTACTCGAGATGAGCCCTTGGGTCAACTTGGAAATGCACCATCAAGAGCATCTATGTTTATCAAGACCACGTCTTAAGCTCAATCATAACATTTTCATCCTCTATCTACTACTATACCCTATCAATCCCCATAATATCCTCCTCCAACCTTCCACCATGCCCACTTTACCGAGTTTAGCACTTCACATCGTCACAGGCATGAAATCATAACAGTCATCACAGTAAACACGTAGATATCACCCCCGCACTGCCATAAGCTTTGCAAACATGAACAAAGCATCATGGGCAGAACACGAAGACGCAAAAGTGCAGGGATTAGATACTGCTTGGAAGTCCGTATGGAAGAGGGACCGGAGGGTACGGCGTATGTCGCAATCGGTAATCGCATGCCCTAAAGTAAGTTGGCGCAAAGGGAAAGCAGCTTAAAGATAGGCCAAGGAAGGAAGCCAAATCGCGAGGGCAATCTCAAAAGAGTCCAGGGTTCCAAAAGGGGAGCTCCACGGGGCTTTCCAGAAGGGCAGGGAATCCAAGGTTATGGGATTATCCGGGTGGGTACATGGCAAAGGGCTGCGGGAATGGCCGGGTGGATGGTTTAGGCAGGGGTTGCCAGGTGACCGGGCGGAGGATGTCGCAAAGGCTGCAGGGGTGGTTGAACGGATATGGTATGTTGCAACGGCTACCGGGGTAGGGCATGATTGTCGCATGGCGGTCGAAGGTTGCTCGGAGGTTGCGCTGGAATCGACCGTAGCTGCAATGGGGCTTACCTTCACACTTCACCTCGACACCACGCATTGCCATGAGGCACCGACCAGATTGAACGTGGTAGTGTTGACAACTACTCGTGATTAGCATGCAAACTCCTCCAAACGCCTTCGCTTTTAGTTTTCCGAGACGCCGTATCGCTATGCAGAACAAGAAAATGAAATCAAAAGGTATACTCTACAGAGTCCAGAGACCACTCCGTCGTTTGCCCATGGGGTAGATGAGGAGGGCCGCCATGAACAAGCCGACAGTAATGCCAATGGCAATCTGAATCATGGAAGCTGCGACGTTGAAGACAATGGCGTTCAAACTATCGGGACTCGACTAATTTGCGTTAGAAGTGACCATTTGAGGTAATACAGAGTGTCTTACATCAGCCCCTCCTGCTGCGCCTTTGATCAAGGCAGATGCAGTTTTCAGAGCAGAGTTGATGCTCCCGCTCGATGCAAGAGATCCAGGGACCTGTACATAGACGGCGGGTAGGAGGACAGCAGCGGCAACTCCGTGGCGCAGGCGACTGTAGAGATTGGCCAAAACACCGACTGTGAAGGCACCAAATGTGTATGCGATTGGAGCAGAAGACGAGAATTTCTTGCTAGCGTAGAAGTTGACCAAGTAGCCAGCAAATGCAATGATGATCATGGCAGGCATTTGCTTGTACTTTGCTTGTACAGTGAAAGTCGTGAAGAAGACATACAGAGGAACGAAGAGGAAGCTCCAGTATGGGTGCAGGGGTTCCTGGCATTGGGTCGCGTTGGTGGCATTGCTATCGATAGCACCGTAGATGGCCGTGCCGACAGTTATACCATATCCTAGAAAGAGAGAGTAGATGATGGCAAATACGAGTCGGATGGAGCCAGGCACAATGGCGCGGGACTGGAGTTCGAGGGCAGAGCTCAGGACCAGCCACCCGGGAAGGATCAAGGCGATGGCGCTCTGTGCAATGGCTGAGAAACAGAAGAGATTTCCATTGTTGATGCTGCCAAAAGCACGAGCAAGGAAACTCATGAGAATGGTAGCCGTGATTTCGAAAACAGTGCTGTACGTCTTGGAAAGTGGAGCGATGACCAGTTGGAGCACACCCAGAACCATACCAAGGGCGAGGATAATAGGCATGTCAATGAAGCGTGCTGAGAAGAAGACGGAAACGGCCGCGCTGGCCAGGCCATACATGATGACAGTCAACCAGACAGGATGCCTGTCTTTTGCGTTGATGACGGTGTCGAGGCGGGTAAGAGCTTCGTCGAGACTGATGACATCATGCAGGACCTCCTTGTAGATTTCGTGGGTATCTTTGAGCTTAGCCAGGTTGACGCCCTGGGCAGTGCGGACAATCTTGACTTCGGCGGTATGGGTAAGGTTGTCGTCGAAGGAAATGATCATACAACCCGGAATGTAGAGAAACTGGCTGTTGATCTCGAGAACCTTTGCTGTCATGGCAAGATATTCCTCGAGGCGATGAGTGGGTGCGCCAAAAAGCATAAGAGCACGACACATGCGAATGATGTACTGCTGTCGCTTAAGGATGTTGGCCACATGAATCTTGATCTTGGCGTCCTGGTCTTCTTTGGCTTTCCAGACTTTTGCAACAATGCCACCACTGCCCGTCCGCTTATGCTGGCGCGGTCGCAGGGGAGGATCTTTCTTTTCATCTTTGGGGTTGGCCAACTTGGTCGAGGCACCAATCAGAGTAGCTAGTGTGTCGGTTGACTGGATGGGTTTGTTTGCATTGTACCATTTTCGTTTTGGCGTGTTGGCGCCCGAAGAAGAGGCCGGATGGGGAGGGGTGGTATTGCTGTGTTCGGAGGCGGCGTCGGGAAAGGCAGGTATGGGATTCTTGTATGTCTGGAGGATCTGGTAGAAGATGCCTCCATTATTGTTGCCTGTCACGGCATAGCCGCCATCCGAGTCGGTGTCACTAGAAGTATGGCCTTCGGAGCTCTCAGCACGTGTAGTTTCAGCATATGCAAGACGGGCATTGTGGGCATTGAGCAGCTCTTCGGCATCGGCAGTGTGCTGGTCCACGGTGTTTTGTCCCGAATCGGGCCCTTGAACAGGCTCATTGCTGGGAGAGAGCTGGGGAGAAATGGGGACTTCAACATTGGCGGAGCTGTTGAAGCGCACTCGTGTCCTGCCCGTCGCCTGCTCAGGCTGTACTGAGGGTGTTGGGTAGGTGGGGGCAAGGCGGTCGAGCTCGTGAGCATCGACGTTTGTGCGATCAGACGAATGGGACGAAGTGGGCTCCATTGCGGGGGGGATGGGGCGCCCAGAAGGGGAGATGGCAACGAAGAGAGAGTGCTTTTGTGTGGACCAAAGGAATGAGGGCAGATGTGGTTTGAGGGGGGGGTCAAGCATAAGTATATCGGCATGGTGCTGGGTGCTGGGTGCTGGGTGCTGGGTGCTGGGTGCTCAGGGCTTGGGCAGTGAGGAGTTGTCGTCGGCGTTACCTCATGGGCCCAACTGCGTTTGCGGCCGTCGATGCGAAGCCAAACGACCAGTGCGTCGCGGGCGCGACCTGGCGGTGGATCCGAAGAATGGATCAAGAGAGGGTAGTGATGGTTGGGAAGCGCCGAAAGGAGAAGTATGCGAGCAATCTCGAAGCCAAAGGCGGCGGCGTCGGTCACGGGTGATGCAACGGGGCCCGGCTAAAAGCGGAAATCCGTGTGTCATGGATTCGCTGATTGGCCGCCGCCACCAGCAGACGGGCTAAAGTCAGCGACACCCGACATGCTGTGTGAAAAAAATCCATCTCACCACCACCCGCCGGCACACTCGCCCTCACCCCCGACTCGACGACGCGAGTCCCCGTGGGGCCTGCGACGGCCGGCACTGGTCCAAAGCCTCCCTCGCTGCTCGATCCCTCCTTGGCTGCGCTGCCACCGTGTCAGCAGCAAATTAGAGCACGCTCTAGAAGCATCGCCGGATCCACACAGTCCCTGACTACGGCCTCTCTGCGACGCAGACGTGCCTCCAAGGGGTATGTACTACTTGTACTATGTATACAGTACAGCAGTACCGTGTCTGTATCCGGTACATCTGCTATACAGGAACGAGTCTCGTAGACCGCTTCTTCTTGCAAATGCACTCGCCGTAACGGTCACGCGCATGCACCTTGCCTTGCACAGATATCGCAGCTCCTTGGCTGGGCGAATTGAAGTGGCATGCGTCATGTGTGTGTACTTGTACTGCCGTATTACACCTAGCATACGGTGCATTACTTGTACTCCATGTGCCTAGGTAAAATTAGCATGTAGAGTGCGGACAAAACCTTCGTCTCAGCAATCACCTCAACATGACGAAATATTACACAATGTCCTAAGCCCGTTCCATCCATTCCCGAGGCGAATCACACATGTTACCGAAGATCTTTTCAGTTATCCGGAAATAGTACCTGACTGAACCAACAAACGAGATGCCAATGGCAGCGGAGCCCCTGCGTCCCAGCAGGGAAGGTTGCTCCGCCAGCATGCCCATGACGCACCTCATGGCGCGTCCCAGCATTCGAAACCGATCCCTAGCAGATCGCATCTTTAGCGAGAACCCCATCAAGAGATCATAGCCTACGCAGATCTTCTGAATGACTGACCATGTGTGGGCACCGGGTACTTATCGATCCACTCTTGATTCCTGGGTTGCTGTATCCGTCATTATCGCGTAGGCAGACTGGGTGTGTTTGGTAGTTGGATATCCTTAAACGGCTCTTCATCTCAGCCTCGTGTCATCCTCGTCTTGCATACTACTGGGTTCATATACACAAGCAACTTCCTCGTACAACTCGCCCTTGACTACCAATTGAATTCTCCCTTTTTCCCTAAATCCAGCTTTTGCATAGAATGTCTCGGCCGCCTCTACGGTGCTTTCCAAGTACGCAGGCACCCCTTGCGTGTTGCATGTGTTGAGGCCCCAGTCAAGTAGCATTCTGCCTACGCCTTGGCGGCCATGGCTCGGTGATACCGCGATCCAGGATAGTTCTGTCGAGGTCGACATTACCAAGAGTCATTTGGAAACGAAATGCAATATCTATACTCACCGTAATGTCGGCAATCTCCAATAGTACTGTCTGCAACTTTCGCAGCAGCAGCTCTCCATGCGTTTAAAATGTCCCAATCTGTTCCCTCTGGTAGATTCCAACGCGGTGCTGCATACGTCTTTTTCATGCCGCTGCTTCTTTCCTCTTCATCTTCCGGACAAGCGTGGCACCACACTGCAAATCCTGCTATTTCTCCTCCGCTACCCTTTGCCATATCTGTGGATTGTGCAACCACCACACTTGTCCTCTCATCAAGCATATCAGCAATTAGCTTTTCTTCTACGGCGCGTTCAAATGCCGCCCAAATTGCCGGTGTAGGATATATCGCGCGCATGAGCCGGTTGGAAGAGAAGGCTGATACATGAATACTAGCGAGACGTGGGGCAACAGTACGAGTCGCGGGGTAGATGTGGATGGTCATTTTGAACTGCAGGGCAGAGTTATGAAAGGAATAGCCGTTCCGTTAAACGTGACGCTTGGCTGCGATTATGGGCAATATGAACGGACCTCGAATGCTTGACTGGTGCAGTCCTTGATAGCAGATGTCGTGGTGATGTTTGGTAGCGGTGTAAACATCTCCCAGGTGCACCGCCACACTGTTCCAGCGAGTGGGCATATTACACAGCCACCCTGCCTGACATACGAGACAACTGAAAGCTGCTCAACAAGCCCTGGCAGCGCTGACTATTTAAGATCAGAACATCCCATTCCTACGGAGACATGAAAACTGCAACTGCCTCTCCACACCATAAACTACCCAGATGGCAAGCACCTCACTTTACCAACCGCTTGACCCAACCCGAGAAGAATTTCGACTTCTTCGCATACACCCCACCAACATCCCGGAAAGTATCATCTCGTGCCAGCTCTTCACTGCCAGTCTTGCAGAAGAACCACTGTACAACGCCCTGTCCTACTAGTGGGGCTAAAGGGACATTACCAAACCCATTATCGTTAATGGTGTCAGAGTCCAGGTTACCCCCAATCTCGAAGCCGCATTGCGGCGCATCCGTCCGTCCGACTCAGAGGTCACCCTCTGGGTCGACGCAGTATGCATCAACCAGCAAGATCTTGACGAAAGAAATGTCCAGGTGGCCATGATGAGCAAATTGTATTCCAAGACCATGTTGACTTACGCATGGCTGGGTGAAGATGACGATGGTAGCGCTGAACGGGTATTTTCCTTCATCCGCGGGTTTGTGGGTGATTTTACCAATCGTGTCAAGGACATTGATCACTTCACTACCAAATTCGGTAAGGGCCAGTGCGACAACATGTACTTTGGCCTCCGGGATTATATTGCCCAAAATCTTCGGGACGGTAAATCGGCATTGGGCGTATCCGGCGTTCTAGATATGAGGTTGGTGTTTTCTCGATCATACTGGTATAGGACTTGGATTCACCAAGAACTCTTTCTTCCATCCAAAGTATCAATGCTTTCCGGCTCGGTGTCTATATCATTCAATATGATGATAGTTCTTGGAGATATCATCAGTTGCATTCGATGCTAAAGCATTCAGTGGAAAGACATTACCGATGAGACCCTCACGGCTTTGTGGAAACTTACCTTACCTCCCGCGCTTGAACTACGGTTAGCCAATCTGGGGAACGTCATTGATGTAGTATCAACCCTGATGCCATGTGATGCTACAGATCCCCGGGACAAAACCTACGGCATCTTGGGTTTTTGTGAAGGTCCTATGCCTGTCACTGTCGACTATACTAAGCCAGTAGCTCAATTGTTCGCAGAATTAGTTAAGAACATTGCCGAACAAAGCGGATATCTTGTCCTTCGACAAGACCCGGACAGTAATTTCGATCCCTGCGTCCCGAATTTGCCGTCCTGGACGCCAAATTTTCGCACAGATTGGACCGAATATACCAATGAAGATTGGATTGGAGTGCATGTCCATGGAGGATGGAAAGCAAGAATCTTCCCCACAACTTTTACTCACTTACTACGGATCTCTGGGTGTGTAGTAGATACCGTTTAGTCAGTCGTCCAATTCTCTACTCCCAATCAGGCAACAGGCGCTTTACTTGATTTCGTTGTGTCCAACATCACCATGTCTTATCCAACGGGCACTACGTTTCTCCAGGCACTTTGCTGTAATATCCTCGGATATCGCTCCGTCGATGACTTCCAATACCGAGTTTCAATGTATGACATCCGTACATTTTTGCACTGGATACTGGACTATGGGAAGGAAAAACCCATGTTATATGGGCGGTTTCCTGCTTTTGTCGATCAAAACAATGTCATGGCCGTTTTTGAATTCGTTCCAGACGAAATCTCGATGAGCTTGCGATTTGCGGCAGTTACTGGAGCCCTTGATCACCTGGTTGAACCATACAAGGACGCTAAAGACCATAGCGCTTTCCTTTCAATAACTCCACAACAACGTATGGCGCCTTTTTGGGGGTCTGAATCATATCCCGACGCTTTCCAAGCAGATATAGAGTGGAAAATTCCTTCAGAATGCGTCAACCTTGAAACTATGAGGCGAAGGACCAGAGATTGGGCCGACAGAAAAATCTTGATAGTTACGGAGAAGGGCTATATAGGCTTTGCCACCCGTGGTGTCTCGGTAGGGGACGATGTTTGTATTGTCGCAGGATGTCCCTACCCGACTATCATACGGCCATCAGGCAGCCATTATCAAGTCATCGGCGGTGGATTCATCTTTGAAATGATGGATGGTGAGTTGTTCAGAGACGGGCACTTGACGAACGACAGTCAGCAAACCTTTGAGTTTGTTTGAAATATCCACCGCACTACCCTTCTAAACCGAAACCTCTGCCCCGTATTGGGGGCAGCACTAAGTGTTGGACTATGGGTGCTTTCTCGTCTAAAGACGTCCAGCAAACAGCTCCACTTCTGATATGCTCAAGGCTGGCATATAGCGAGACCTCTCGAGAATCAGAGCTGCAGGATTTCATGCCTTGCGAATACGTTTGCCAAACTATTGTGGCTCCGCAAGAGCATTGCCGGCTCCAACATCCGCGATAGACAAAAGAAATAAGAGTCCTCCATCGAGAATTGTAAGTTCCATAAATGCAGGATATGTTCGGTATCCTTCAGAGACCAGTTGGGTCGAGTTGTGGAAGATTGCATGCTAAGCTAGAGCCATTTAACAACGGTCTTGCTAGCATTGGCACGGTAAAACTCTTCGAAGGCATGAAGATGGTTCCCCGCTCAGACGGGCGCAAACCTTCTTTTTAGGTGCATTGGATGCGTTTGACGCCTCATACCGAGATTTCCGACATTGTTTGACAAAGGACAGGGCAGGTCGCGAGCATGGAAGCTGGACATACCGCCGCGCATGATCATGGGTTGTTCCCGAAGAAATAAAACTTTATGGTTTGCCGTGATTTCCAAGGGTCAAACGAGCGGCTTCAGGAGAGATTTTGTGCTGCCCTTGTTGTGAATATGAATTCCGAGGTCGAATATACGGTGATTGGTAGTATACTTAGTCCAACGGCTGAACAAGGCCCGTGCACTCGAACTGAGGATCCTCGATCGCCATCGCGTGCGGAGACTATTGCGCGACACCTTCAACGTGCCGTTCTGCCTCAGGCGATGGTTCTGTATATCACTTTAGGAAGCCGACTTACTCTTCCATATAAAAACTGAGCGTGACTGTCGGATCTGCTTCTCTTCGCTCTGTGGTATAGGCAGTTACAGCTTGCTATCATCGCATCGCGCCAGCATCGCGACAACCTGGGCTTTGCTTCCTCCATCGCATCAACTCCTCCGGCAACACATGCCGACTACCAAGAAAGATAAATCCCCATTCGCTTGTATCCCACTGTCTGGCTTTGGATGAGGTCGCAACCGGCGCCGTGGCGTGTGCTGAAACCAGGCACTTTGCTACAACAGATTTTGCAAACAGGAACAGGGACCTGGGGACCCTCAGGAATCCCCAAGAGCTAGAATCAGTGACATCAACATTAGCCTCTGGCAGGGACGGTGGCTTGGGCCTGGGGTTCGAAGCTGTCAGGACATGCGGGCCGTTGCTCGTTCCGGAATGTTGAAACCTTATTCGCCTCACATCCCTAACGTGCATAGGCCTTATGGCATCGACCGAAAGAGCCTCAACACTGCAATATTCCTGCATCTGGACTTGCTACGTATTCTCCGACAGTTCCTGTTAGGCCAAGGCTGCCACCGCCAAAGTTGCGCTCTTGGTCTGGTTGCTGGTATCTAACGCCTCTGATTGGACCTCTTTGCTCAGTGCCTCACTGAGGACATGGGTTTTACCTTAGCACGTTCCTGCCAAGTACCACCAGTTGCGGCTAGACGGCAAAGTGGCAGCTGTACATGTTGGAGAAGAGTGGGGAGATTACCTTTTGGTTGCCCTGTCTGGTCGCCCTGCTGCCTCAAGGCATCATGGCTATGCAGAGAATGCGGCCAGGAGACCGAGATCAAACACTTGCAAGTTTACACCGGCTCCACGTAATGTTTTTGCTCCTAGATGGATGTTCCGATTCGGCCTTATTTCTTAGCAATAGCTCAAAGTACATATAACGCGAAAGGCCCAGCGCCTCATAGGTTTTGTCATCTCTTTCATCAAAGCCGTTTTCAAGTCCCTTACCTTCTTTTCAACAGTGCCGAGCACTCGTATTTTAATTATTGTTGAGCTGTGCTCTTCATTCCTTCATTTTACCATTGTAATACACAGACACTCGGTGATCCGCATCCAGTCCTTTCAGGAAAGCAAGAAAAGAAACCTACCATTCATAATGAAGACCATTTATCCACTACTCACTCTCCTTTCGGCTGCGGCCGTTGTCGCCGGTCCTCTCCCAAGAAACGTACAACTGCTCCCGGACGCAAACCTCAAGCCTACTCGCGTCGTCGCGCGCACGCAAATGCCTGCCGAGGCTGCGCCAGCACCAGCAGCAGGAATTGATCCTGGTAAAGCTGCTGCGGATGCTATGGAAGCAATGCACGTGGCCGAAGCGGAGGCTAAAGAAAAAGCTCATCAAGAGGCTGCTAAGCAGATGGAGGCCATGCATCAGGCAGAGGCAGAGGCAAAGGAGAAGGCCCACCAAGAGGCCGCTAAGCAGATGGAGGCTATGCACCAAGCAGAAGCCGAAGCAAAGGAAAAGGCACACCAGGAAGCTGCAGCAGCCATGGAATCTATGCATGTTGCATCTGAAAAAGCAAAGGACGCTGCCCACAAGGCATCGGCTGATGCCATGGAAGCTATGCACGTCTCGCGGGAACTGGCCAGCATCTCCATGGCCATGAAGACAGAGGCTCCAGCTGCCACTCCTCCACCACCACCACCACCTGCCGCTATGCCTCACGAGACTCCTGCTCCGGCCCCTACACATGTTATGCCCCCTCCTCCTGCCGCCGAGATGCCACCACCACCACCCCCTCCCGCTGAGATGCCACCCCCTCCCCCAGCACACACAATGGCACCTCCTCCACCTCCAGCTCACACAATGGCTCCCCCACCACCTCCTGCAGCGGAAATGCCTCCTCCGCCCCCGGCTCATGAGATGCCAGCTCCATCTGCCCCCGCTGCTGCAGAGATGCCACCACCACCTCCCGCCCATGTGATGCCACCACCTCCTCCTGCTCATACAATGGCACCTCCTCCACCTCCTGCCGCTGAGATGACTCCTCCTGCAAAGATGCCTCATGTTCCTGCTGAGATGCCGTCTCCACCTCCCGCTGCTGAGATGCCCCCAGCCATCGGTGGCATGAACGGTAGTGAGGCTGCACCGTCTACATCATCTGCTCCCCCTGCGGCTGAGGTCACCGAAAGCTTCTCTCTGATTATGGACCAGGCTGCACAGGCCACTGGTGCTGCCAACATGACTGCTTCCTCGGCCACGAGCACCCCTGCGGCACCTGCTGAAACCGGTGCTGCCGAGGAAGAGAAGAAGAAGGCCGAAGAGGAGCAGAAGAAGGCAGCTGAAGAGGAGAAGAAGAAGGCCGAGGAAGAGAAGAAGGCCAAGGAAGAGGCCGACAAGGCTGCAGAGGAACAGAAGAAGCAAGAGGAAGCCGACCAGGCTGCTGAAGCCGAGAAGCCCGCTGAGGACGCTGCGCCAGACAACCAGGGCGGAGCCGAAGCCTCAGCCCCTGCTGAGGCACCTGCTGAAGCGCCCGCCGAAGCGCCCGCCGAAGCGCCCGCCGCACAAGAACAGCAACAAGAAGCAGCCGGCGAGGCAACCATCAAGCTTCCAGTCGGCTTCCTCACTTCTCCACGTCTCCGCCGCGCCAATCTCGCCAACATGCCTGCTAAGCGCGGCATGAAGGCCGTCGCTTTCTAAGCGTTTGATCCCCGTTTTTCTTTTCTGTGTACTTGGTATGTGGGGTACATCGAGAGGCGAGTTGATGAAGAAGAGAATTAGGTGTGTGTGTATGTGTGATTATAGCACAGGACTGTTTAGTGTTGTCCGCGATGCTAGTTAGACGAGAAAGCGCGTTTAGAGAATTATTAGTGTAGCGTAGTTACTTGACCGAGTGCAATCATCTTGACTCGAGTTTCCTTTTTTTTTCGAATAACAACCCTTATTCTCTTACTACCATTTTGTTCAAGGTATAAACACTATCGATATGAAGAAAGATGGTACCTGGAAGTGTCTACTGAACTATACAAGTCTGCTATGTATATGTGTGCGGCGCTCTTTTGATCAACTAAGTTACGCTTGTCCTCATATCTGCAGGTACATTGGATACGAAAACGAATAGAATAGCAGTGTAAGCTGCTGCCACAGCTATCATTTCGAAGCTGGTCACTTTGAGGAAAAGGGACACAAGGAATGACAGTCCAAGTATCCACGCCGCGATAATCGCCAACTGAACGTTCTTAGATGACTCATACGATAAGATAACCAAAGGAGCAATGAGAAACACAGCTGTAAACGCTGCCGTGAGGAAACGCCCAGTAATCTCAGCTATGAGAAGACTGTCTTGGTACAACCATTGGTGGCGGCGGTAGTGAATGTGGTGCCAATTCCAAGCCGAGCCCGGGTCTTCAGGGTTGTTCTGGAGCTTTCTCTTTAGTTTCCAGAATTTGAAGGAGCGCAGGTATTTGTAGAGCCAGCGCTGGAACGGATCGATACGTTCTCGTGTCCCGAGATCTACTCGTAGCAGCCTCGTTTTGTATTTCTCTCCGAGACTGAGGTCGCTGCGTAGACTGGAGAGGATATCGTCGTCGAGTAGGGAGTTGATTTCCATCGTCATAATTTTGTTGAAGGCTGCCAGGGCTTCGTCTTTTTGCATCCGGATTTCATGTCAGCGGGGGTAGTTGATGTGTACTTTAGAGGCTGTGTACGTACCGTATTCCTTCAAAAGACTGCGGAGCTTTAAAATAAATTCTGGAGTGATTACTTCGTCGATCTTGGGAACTTTGGCATCTCTCTTGTTATTCCTAAGACCAAGCCGATCGAATGAGGAGATAGGTAAGTTGAGGCTGAGACCAGCTTGGTACAAAATGTGGTCCATTTGGGCGATCTCATCTTCTAGGAAACGTAAATTTAGTAGATGCGTAGTTTTGGATCGACGAAAGCTGTGTAATGTAATATTCTTGTCAGCTGTGCTGGCTATCCATGCAGTTTCAAACTTTTCGTGCGTTCTGCTCTTTGGGCCTAGAGGCGCGTTGTCGACGGGTACTTCCATGTTGGAGTGAAGGTTGTGGCGAAAAGATAAAATCTAGAGGAAGGTAAATCATCAAGATATCTCAAAAGCCTTGGAAGCAGGTCCCTGATTCTTTATGCAAGCTAATTCTAAACCTACTCGCACTCTCAGTTATGATTCGCGGTGAAAGCGCCTCGAGCAACCAACGAGCTGAAAAACGTGTGGCGCAGCTATACGGTGCATGATCCTGCGTTGAGAAGGCTTAGATACCTAACGCAATAGGCTGAAGTAGGTCGATCAGGCAGAACCAATGCGACAAGGCTGAAGCAACATTGCCTTACTACACACATTCATCTTCGCCGAAACATGTCTCTCCAACATAATACCACCTTTCTTTCAGCCCAACTCATACCTGCAAGAATGACATCTAGCAGCACACCCGCCAGCTGCGCAGATTACCACGTCGCCTGGATATGCCCTGTCGCCGAGCTACGTGACAAGATTAGAGCACGATGCAACGGAGCGCTTTGTATGGAAATGGAAGCGGCAGGTGTTGACGCGAGTAGAAGATGTGTTGTTGTTCGTGGCATCTCCAATTACGCAGATTCGCACAAAAATGATTTATGGAGATTGCATGCAGCTGGTAATGCGGCTGCGTTCACAAGGGAGCTGTTATGCAGAATTCAACCAACCACAATAAAAGACATGAAAGGGCAGTCTGAAGGTCAGTACCAGATCTGTTCAAGACAAATGATCGCCTAGGAACATGGACATACAACGTTGAATTGCCAATAAAATACACGTGCACCATGCTGACACATTACAGCACCGTGGTTTGTTCCACTACCCAGGCCACAGTCATTCGTCGGTCGCGGGAAACATCTTACGCTACTCAATACCCACATAGTCTCGGAAGGTTGCTACCGATGTGCTGTATACGGCCTTGGTGGTTGCGGGTAGACAGCTCTCGCTCTTGAGACACCTTATCGAACATGGGAGCAGCAGACTCAATGTGCCGTGTTCTGGGTGCTTGCAATCAGCCAAGCAGACTTTGAACAGGCATACCGAGAGATAGGACTACTCTTTCGCACACCTGGCACCACAGATGCTAAGGCTGATATCAAGACACTTGTTAAGGCTAGGCTGAGCGACGAAAGTTCTGGGCAGTGGCTGATGATTGTTGACGATGCGGACGACGACAGGATCCTCTTCAACCCACTTACAGGAGGGAGCGACAGGGATTGACTGATCGACTATCTTACATACAGCCAAAAAGGCTCTCTCATCTTTACCACCCGAGTCCCAAAGGCTGCACACAACTTAGCTGCAAACAACGGCATAGAGCTAGGCATGCTTGACAGGGAATATGCTAAGGAGGTCTTGAGAACACGTCTGTTTGGAAAGTACCAACACCTGGTTGGGGATGAGGTAACGACTGACGGATTTCTCAATATGCTCATTTGCCTAGCCCTCGCAACCGTCCACGCAGCAGCTTTTATCAACCAGAACGACATCCGGCTCTCCGACTATATACAGCTGTATCGAGTGAGCGAATAAAAGGCGACTCATCTTCTAAGTGAAGAGTTCCAAGATCAAGGAAGGTATCGAGAAATGAAAAATCCCATCGTAACAACTCGGTACATCTCATTCGACCAAATCACGTCAGCATACGCTTCCATTACTGAGCGAGATTTTGTACGGGATGAGCACGGATTTCAGCAAGAGCAGACACAAGGGCCGAAGAGATCATTCAATGTCCATCCATTAGTGCACTTGGCAATGAGGGGCTGACTGAAATCACAGAATCAGTGGCTGGAGTAGGTAGAAAAGACAATTGAAAGATTGAAAGAGATTGTGCCATTTGGAGATCACAGAACAAGAGGAGTGTGGACTCCATATCTGCCTCATGCCAAACACGTCATAGTTATGTCTGCAATCTCAGAGCAGAGTGCGGGATGAAGTCTGCTTGAGCGAGTAGGAAATTGCGAAATGACTCTGGGACAATGCAGGGCGGCGGAGGAAACACGCTGTCAGCTTGTGTTGAGAGCGGCTAAGGCGCTTGGCTAGGGGCATCCACATATCGCAAGTTACGAGAATGGACTAGGAGTACCATCATCCGAGCAAGATCGATACGGGGAAGCAGAAGCGATGTTTAGAGAGGCAATAGCGCTACGTGAAAAGGCTTTCGGCCAAAAGGATAGATGGGTAGGAAATTTCAAAAATAACCTAGCAAATTTGCTAAGGCACCAGGGCTATTTCGAAGATGCGGAGAAGATATATTGACAGATAGTAGCACTGAAAGAAAAAGACTTCGGACAGGGCCATGAAGACGCTGTACTCAGTTTGAAAAACCTAGGTGTGTAGTGCTTTGTGATCTAGACGAGAACGAAGAGGTGGAGAAAATATTCCGATGAATACTAGCGACAAGAAAGAAAGGTTTGGGAGAGGAGCACCCATGTACTAGAACTACTGTGCACAACTCAGCAAGGGTGCTCCGAGAATTATATAGGTACGAAGGGGTGGAACGGATTTCACGAGAGGAAAGAAAATTTTAGGCAAGGAGCATCCAAATACTATATTTGTTGTGTGTAACTTAGCAGCAGTGCTATTTTGTATGTGCAAATACGATGAGGTGGAACAAATCTACCTAAAAATGATAGGGCTAGCGGAAAGGGCACTAGGAAAAGAGCACCTCATAACGCGGACTTGCTTAAAAACTCTGCTACCGTGCTACGACAACTAGGTAGATCCGAAAAGGCCGCATCTGTAACGAAGAAGATGGCTTAGCTATTTTTCCATGACAGCACAGTGAAATATCAAGACGACTCTCTCACGGACTTACAAGATCATTGACCTAACTAGTTGGGATGTTGTCCGCGTCCGCTGCTAGAGGACGGCTGTTGCCGGCACTGTACTGACGCTTGGTTGGAATGTTGTCAGCGTCCGCTGCTAACGGACGACTGTTTCCAGCGCTATACTGGCGCTTAGTCGGGATGTTGTCAACATCCGCTGCTAGGGGACGACTATTGCCAGCATTGTACTGGCGCTTGGTTGGGATGTTGGAATCCATAGCTTCAGTTCTACCAGTCAATGGCTGAGTGGGCATGGCAACTGACAAGGCCAATAGACTCGTGAAAGTAAAGAGGGTAGAGAAACGCATTGTGATTTACAATTGAGTTTTGATTTACAAAATGGTATTTAGAGAGTTCTTTCGTTCTGGGGTGTCTTTATATACATATATATGCTTGCGATGTAAATGCCGCTTCTCTTGATGCGATTGTAGCGAGAGCGTATAGCTGAACTGCCGAGAACTCAGTCCGATCTACATTGGTCATCATACCGCAATTTCATCGCCGCTATTATTGTCGTGAAACTTCCTAACATGCATCTCTGCGTGACGGATATCCCTGTGTGCTAGAATTGACTAATCAGCTTGCACGTTTGGGGCAGGAGCTTGTGATTTGAATAAGGCAATTGGTCGGTTCTAGCACCTAGGGATGTCCGTCACGAGGGGATACATGTCAGCATGGACTTGCTGCTATTATCAATATTGATGGTGCCATGAGGGGTTACCTACAACCCTGTAACAGAGCACGTCAATAACCTGTCACTTTCTGGTATATGTGTCAATCTTTCCCAAAGAAGCTACACAGATGATAAGCTTACGCTAGTAGCTTATCCTCGGCGCTACTAAAAAGCCGCTACAATCAGATACACTTTGCGATCCCGTTTATGCATGACACAGTATCTACTGAATCTTATAGCTTGATGGATAAAGTTTTGTCTAAAGAGCTTATGTTTTTATTATAGCACACTGTACCAAACGCTATTGATATTAGATCTACGTAGTAATGCAACGAATGAGATTCCCTTCATGCTTACTTATCTTTGATGATCCTGGGACTTTCGCTGTCGGCCCTACTAGTTACCTCCTGCCGATTGAGGTACTAAGTGCACCAAATGTGTGTTACATAACCTTGGCGTAGATTGTAGATTGGTTGACTAAGACGTTCCCCTTGTTCGTAGAGCATACTCGCCACGTCAGCTTATACGAGGTATCCGCATTTCAAGTCGTGTTTATTCCTAACTCAGCTGTAGTATACTATTGGCATCATCATACCAAGTCTCCTGACGAGAAGTCTTAGTGTCTTTGTTACTACAGTTGGATTCGATGCTGCTCAATCTTAACTTCTTATTCTCTTCAAACCATATTCATATCCCGCAGTCTTTATTATACATGAGGTCATGCACAGCTTGACACTAAACATCTTTCACTAACCAAGACTGTGTCAACTATGTCGGATGGTTTGCCAGATATCGCAGAGCAAGGCGAGAAATTTGCTCTCTTACACGAAAAAGAAGTATCAAGAAAGTCGTCATGCTTCAAGAAGCGACCATGGCTAGTAGCTGTATGCGCTATCATCCTTACGAATCTACTTTCAATTGTTTTTACTGCAAGATATACAAAATCCCAGAGCTACCAATCATACTCCTTAGACTTGCCTAGAAGTATGTGTCTCCCTATCTCCGAAACATACTAAGACTGATCCTTTTAAGTGAAGGAAATCTATCCTGAACTTGACAGATCCCACATCCTAGCTCAATTCAGCGAGCATCGGGTTAATGGGACAAGTAGATGGTCAGCCCCGCCAAGTCCCTCAGTGGACAGAGCTTGGCTAGAACTAGGCGCTCGCGATATTGGATTTCTCGTTCCAAAGGCAGTAGGTATTGGCCACGGTCTTGATCCTAGAGAGCAAAAATATTACCCAAAAGGCACTTATAGCAGCGATCCTGAACTAGAGGGGTTTATCGTGTTTGTTCAAGCCTTCCATGACCTACATTGTTTAGTAAGTATAGCACGATCTTTATACTATCAAAGCATTGCTAAGCTACGATAGGATGAGCTCCGAAAAGGCCTATACTTCAACAAACCCTACTACCGCCAGTATGAGGATGACAATCTCGTGCCAGAGTGGTTCCGCGTAAGCCATATTAGTACGTGGTATTAAATTCAACAATATATGATTTTATAATTGAACAGTACTAACTTACCCCATCAGATCATTGTCTGGACAATATTCGCGAGACCTTGATGTGTGCGGCTGATATAGGGGTGATACCAACCGTATGGACTGGATTGCATAACAGCTCTATTAGATTCTCTAATAAGCATCAATGTAATAGCTACGATTCATTGCTAGAGTGGAAAGCGAAGTGGGATGCAGACCATCCCGCTTTTGCAGAGGAGTTGCAGGAGCAGCCTCAAGCGCCTCCAGATGCAGTTTTTCATGACCCTAGCGAGTGGGTGGCCTAAATCATAGTATAAAGGCATTTCAATAAACCTATTTTTCATGAGCGTACAACGTAGATTGAACACAACTCACGCACACACTTACAGGATCAAAAAAGACCCATTTTTAAGAGAAACATGCAATTTGGCTAAAATGCTACGGAATGCAATCTAGGATAGCGACCGTCAACCCCCTGACCAAACGCCTCTAAAACCCAACCCAAAAAGAACCGAATCGCGCAACCCCGTACGATAAGGACAAGAAAGAAGATGGCATGCTAACCGCATCATGAGGTCAAATGAAATCGTACACATCATTCATGAAAAGAGGCACCAAAGTACCATATGAGTTAGCAAAAAAAGGGGGGTGGCATAAAATAAAAAGGAAAGACAAGAGCAGAGAATCGAAGATGCATGTATATTAAACCAAAAGCTATTTAGGCAAAGAAAGGAAGATAGAGAAGGAAAAGAGTATGTCATAAGACTAATAATTTGAGTGATATCAAGTAAAGAGAAGAACATGGGGCAGAAGAGGTATCAAAGAACAAAGACCGAGAAGAAAAAGAAGCGAATGGAAGATAAAACTTCAGAGTAATACAATGTGATCATTTGGTCCTTTGAATTGGGGGTAGAAAGAAGAAGAAGAGGAGTTGGATGAAAGCAGGAAGAGAAGGTGTCAAAAACGATCCTAACAGCAATTTTCAAACTTTTGGTCCTCGCGAACCGACCCGTGTCTTCTCGTGTTCGCGCATGTAAAAATCAATAGACTGGTCAAAGGAAATGGAGTGAGAAAGGTAATCTGACAAATCATTTGACGCTTTCCTATCACCATCATTGTCATCGTTGTCGGAGTCCTCGGTTGCGGAGAGATAATCGTTGACAAGGGGATCGTGGTGTAATTTTCCAGCTCTTGTGCGGGATTGTGTTGTGTCTTTTGCTGAGCTAGTGTTGGATGTCATCTTCTTCGTCTTCGTCTCTGTTTTCGCCTTTGCACCCTTGTTTGTACATGTGACATCGCTGGATACGACCTCCATGGAGTCGACTGGCTTGGAAAAACTTTGATGAGAATCTGGTGCGGTAATGCTGGGCGGACGAATTGTAGTATCCGATGTCTTCTCCCCCAAAGCCTTGTTTTCAACATGAGCGACGCGAACTATATTCTTCGGTCCAACGCTTGGTATTGACTGCCGGGGCACAGACGTTACGACTTGCTTTTCTTCTTTATGGGGCGATGCCGGGGCGGTGAAGATGGGTATCGGCTGAGGGTTGATCGCCGATTCAGTACCACGGACATTTTCACCAAACAGGGTGCCATCCTTCTCATCCCAGAGCCTCTCATCGATTCGTGCTTCCTCGTCCGATGAAAAGTGCAAGTCTTTGATACTCCCATCAAGACTATGCCGTATCCGTTCGCTTTCATACGACACTCGCTCTGGTTCCCCAAAGCCCGAATCTTGATGCAAAGGCATGCGGTGTCCTTGCATCACCGAAAGTCCTGTTCGTACTCGTCTTGACAGGGGTTCCGGTCGATCGAATATCGAGAATCCGGTGCTGGTCCGTGATGGAGGTTCCGTGCTGGGTGCCGAGGAGTCCATCGCAACATCGTACTCGAGGCCAGCTAGAGTGCTAGAGTCCGGCTTCTGCGGCTGTTGGCTGTCATAGTAATAGTCTGGAGTTTCAGCGGGCTCTGGGGGTGTATGTGATGGCTGCGGCCATGATTGTGCGAGATGATGCACACGCTCACTGAAGGATGCCTCATTTCCACTACTGTGAGATTGTCCTTTTTCAGACGATCCGTGCAGGCTGTTTCTCATCGACTGTGACTCAATAGGCTGGAGTCCATTTCCTATCGATAAACCTAGTGGGGTTTCTTCGGAAGTCTTACTGCCTATGAATGAATCCTCCATCTCGCCTGGTGGACTCGCAAAACGAATGTCTTTCGGCTCCTGTGTTGCAAACTCATGCACGTCAAGGTCGCCACAAGCTCTTTGTACAAGCTTAGTATCGCCATCCACGTAGACTTGCTCCCATCTTGTTTCCCTGCTAGCTGGTAGGCTGGCAAGCTCGTTTTCGAGCTCTGAGTCATCCAGCGACATGACGGATCGATGACCAGGATAGGGTGAGCGTGAGCAGTCACTTTGCCTATTTCTATCGCTGATACTGAGAGGATGTGGGGAACGACCACGCTGAGAGCGTTCGTTGGGTATGATATAGGAGCCGGAAGACTCGGGGTACTCTGTGCGTGGGACATGAATCTCTTCGAAGAATGACTGTTGCCTCGACTGGCGACGGTGGTTGGAGATATCCTCCAGGTCTACAGCTGTCCTAGGATCGATGTATTCCTTGTCGCTCCTATGTGTGGAGATGCTGTCTCTCACAGTAGCTCTTGGCTTGAAGTCGTCTTCTAGAGTATTTTCAGGGAATCGCTTAAGTAGGTTTGCGGCTGACGGTCTGGACTGGGGTGACTCGCTCAGGCATGCTCGAATGATGTCACGGAAGTAGGGTGGGATGTCAGTATCGCGGCGATCCAATGTGCGGGCCAACGGTCGCTGCTGACGCTCAGGTTCATCTTGCTGTTCTGCCAATGCCCAAAGCACCATACCAAGCTGAAACAGATCGGACTTGACACCAATGTATATCGATATACGCTGTCCACTCTCTATGAGCTTGGCAAGTTCCGGTGGCTCCCATCCGACCGGGCAGCCGCGGCGGTTGATATCGATGATTTTGGCGTTGTCATCATTGTCAATGACAATGTTCGACAGGGTGAAATCTCCTTGCACGAAGCCAGCTTCATGAATCTCTGAAAGACCCTGGATGATTTGCCGTGCCCATCGCTCCCGGCGCTCCCAGTAAAGATGACTTGTTGTCTTGAAGTCGTAGATCATATCGACCAGTGCACCTTGTTCAGCATAGCTAATCAGGAGTCCCTTGATGAGCTCGTTTCGCTGATCGACAATAACGCCTTCGAACCTAATGACAGACTTGGAGTTTTGTACGCTGACAAGCGCGTTGATCTCGTAGAGGAATTCTTCGACCGCATCTGGTCCAGGGATTTCCTTCTTGATCAGTGTCCGGTTGTTAACCGAGACTTTGTACACAAAGCCAGAAATGTGGGAGTCAAAAGCAATTGCGTCTTCACGAAATCGCTTGCAATCCAGATGCACAATCGCCGAAACAGCTGGATACGGGATGATTTCGTTTACGTCCTCTGTGACGTGAACATGAAGGCGGCCATCTGTCGTTTCAAGTTTCAGGTTTGTCACGGTGTCGTAGAACTGGATAGCTGGCAGAGAATCGCGGATGGCCTCATAAATACGCGAGCTCTTGTCACGCTGGTAGTGTAGAGACTTGAGATCTGCCTCAAGTGAGTCTGGTTCCATGTTTCGGTAGTCGCAGGACACCGTGACCCTTCTCCATCTGTTTGGCTCCTCGGCATACGTCACAAAGAACTTTTCGCGGTCTGACATGTCCCGGAAGTGCATGCTGAGGTTCAATATCCATTTGGCTTCCAGCTCTTCCTGCAACCGAATATCATCGATGACGGACCCTGAGTGATGTGAGCTATGCTCAGAAAAGGTATCCACTACTTCAACAGGTGGTGGTGGCGGTAGTGATGCGGGAGGTGGAGGTGGGGATTGCGACGGTTGCGGAGGGGGAGGGGGAGGAGGCAGCATCATTTCTCCAACAGAGGCGCCTGCAGACATGTAGTCTTCGGGCTCCTCGACGCCATAGTCGACCTGACGTGCACCGGGTGGGAGATTCGAATCCGGACCTCCACCTATGGTACGCTCTTCCATGACGGGGTGCGGCTCTTCCTTTACATGGCTTTCACACAAACTCAACACGTTGGGCGCTGACATGGAAGGGGCGGATAGGGGAGGCGGCGAAATGTCTCGTTTTGAGGGCGCTGAGCTTTGGCGATCGACCGAGGCAGCTCTCCTGTGTTCGCCCGGGACAGGGACCTCGAGCAGTTTATCCCTCTTTTCACTTTGCATCCGCTTAAACGTCAAGGGTCTAGGCAGCCCTGGAATGACCTTCTTGCTGCCTCTGCGTCCCAGCAAGCCAGCACTCGAATGCGGTCGTGTGGGCTCCTTGTTCTTATCTTCGGCAGGCTTCGCGGCTTTGGTCGACGATGGCGGCGGTTCTTGCTCCTCCTTCTTCAGCCAGGCGCCAATCTTTTGAAAGCTCAGGTGATCCCACATGCTCCTGTGCTTGCTGACTTCGGCGCGCGCCCTTTGCCTGCTACGGCTGCTGCTCGTCTCGCCATTGTCCGCTGATGGCAATGGCATCTTCTTCTCACACTGGCTCACGCACACGTCCGACGCTGTGCAGCGCCGTGTGGCTGGTGTCTCGGCTCGTTGCCAGCCGTCTGATGGTCGGGTGGTTGCCTTCGCGGTGTGTCGAGGACCGAGTGACTCAGACAGGCGATGGCCGGCCTTGTATTCGCGCGGCGGGGAAATTGGCAGGTCGGGTCGGATGGATTAAGATTGTGCTATGGGTTCGGCGCCAGCTGCATGCTGTGTCGCGATCATGTGTCACTGTGGCTTCCTACGTCCACCAACCTAGTTCCTGCTCTGTGCCTCGATGCTGCAATGGCGCATTTGCCCCTCTCTACGCTAGACTTTTTTCTTTTCCTTTGTTTCCTTGTTTTCCTTTTTCTTGCCTGGGTGCTAGTTTCTACAAGTCAATCTCGGCAGTCCCGACGTGCGAATGACAGACAGGAAAGACGGATAAGTGTTTTATTGCCGCCCAAGCGACATGCCAGGGAGCGGGTTGGCGCCTAACCTTAATCAAAGGCAGGCGGACGACAGACGGAATCTCCAGCGACGGGTGAGGGTCAATGGGGCTGTCGAAGGCAGGCGGACAAGCAGTCGTCGATGGTCGGGGGGCTGGGGACGGGCGGGAAAGGGGAGGGCAGGCAGCGATGAATGCGACGTGCTTGATGAGTCTGATGTGAGTTGGGATGAGTGCGCGACAGAAGGCTGGGCTGGTGGCAGCCAATGAATGCAGACTGAGGGCGCGACTTTCTCCGTCGAGCCGGCTTAGCAACACCACCACGTTAGCGTATCTCGACCGACTCAGCAAATCAAATACCCCAGGGCCAATCTAAGTATTGGCACCTCGCACAAGCCTGCAGTGTCGGTACCAATGTGATCAGAGTTGCACCAAGGCGGGGGACAGGCTGAAGGGGGCGGCGAGGGGGCGAGGGAGCGAGGGGGCGAAGCTGCGAGGAAAAAAAAGTGAGGGCGGATTTCAGCAGCAAAAGTGCGCAGCAGCATAGCACCGTTTTGGGGGTTGCTGTCATTGTCGTTAGACAGCTGGCGGTCAAGCGCCTGTTCCGGCCATTGGGCCACAGCCAAAAAAAAGAGGGCCCTTTCCAGCCTGCAGCATGCGCAGCACGCAGGCAGACAGGCAGCCAGCAAAAGTCCGAATTCGGGTACATTTTGGTCAAATCAAGGGCTGGCGAGGCAAAGAAAAGCCGCCTGGTACCGCCGACTCGGTGGCTGATTGGCTTCTCGCGTGCGTGTGGCAGCCAACTACCACCAACCTGCGGTGAGAGTGACACACAATTTGGCTTTTTGGCATCAACGTCACTCACGCACACGCCCTGACTCTCCGGCACCTCCCTCTGGATGCATATGACCGGCCTGCTGCTACGAGAATCCGCGCTGAAAAGCCTTCACCCATTCCTACCCCTCTGGCGCCATCCCGCCCCCTCATTAATCCTTCACATTGGCATAGCAGCAAAAAACCCCTCTTTCGGGCCTGCATACATTAGCCCAAGCAGAGACGAGGGCCAGACTACTGCACCTCGAGGTCTTCGCGGAATCGTCCCTCGATGCTGACTGGAAACTCTGCATGCAACTGCCCTTGCTCCCCACCCAACAGGACGCAGAGCCAACCCTTTTCGATGCGTCTCGAGTCAACCGGACGTGGAAAGACGGGACAACTCGCCAAAGGTGCCTAGATAGCTCCCTTCTTGCGAGCAAAACTTCTCAACGGCAGTTTCAGGATGCTTGCGCAAAAGCAGGTACAGGGATGTTTAAATCTCACTTTTTTCTCTCTCTTTCCTTCTAGTAAGTATGACAGCTTATTACACCGGCGTCTCCAGCTGCATTGGCTTCTCGGTAGCCTTATCAGTGCGTAATATACCTATATATATATATATACACATACATATACACGCACAGTACATGTACGTGTATTCACATGCAATAAATATGCCACGCTGCGCCCCAACAAAAAAAAGTTGTGCAATTCTCCCATCACAGCTCACCTCTGAACAAAATGACGACAACCTCGTTCATAGTACATCATCACTGCAAGCACAAATCTCCGGCACCTATGAAAGCGTTCCTCTACCTCGTATCGACCATAGACCAAAGATCGAGAGATTACCAATCTTGATTCGTGCCCTCTAGTTCGCAGAGTATGCGTTGTCTCTTCCCATCATTCTCCCTCGTGCAATCTGCCCGTCTGCCAGCTTACCTGCCGTGTGTCCGCATCATCCCTCCTGACACGTCAATATGGTTCATGCCCACGCAACGCATTACACTTGCAGCATGCAGGGCCACGCCACGCCACGCCACGCAAGGCATGCCACGCACTCTCATAACAAGAGACAAAAGGGAGCCGTGCGAACCAACGCACAAATCTAAAACAGATAGACATCCGATGTGGCTTGTGCGATGATGGAGAGTACAAGAACAAGTCAAACCAATGGTAGGTCTATAGAGGGCCAACGTGTAGTTGCATGTGGGATAACATGCTACAAGTAGTCACGGTCCGGCGGCTTGCGCGCAATATCGTGTAAAATCATTTGTTACAAAGTCCAAACCGCATCGTCATCGTCTCACCAAGACTAGATTCGCGAGCTCGACAAATAGCCATGTTGCCTGTCGCAGCATTGTGCGCAAAAAAAGGTACTCCTTGTACATTTGCGGAAACGTACCGAGTAACGGACCGACCCGCCTTCTCTTCTTCTTCTTCTTCTTCTTCTCTCGCCCGTGTTTCTAGCAAAACCAGCGCAAAACGTCATCCATTCTCTTTGGCATAAAAGCAAAACAACACAACCTTTGGAGACCACTTGGCATTGATACAGAGAAGAGAATTTCATTCATCGCTTCATTACCCAAGATGCAGTCGATTGCATAGCCGGCCCGTATTCTTCATTGCCCAATGCTTTGCCAAACAGCATCATTAAAAACGCCTAGAATGCGCTTGCGTTGCTCCAATCCCATGTCTCACTTAGTCACTGTACATATCTTACATCTAGGGCTCTAGCTTAGTCATCGTCGTCGCCAGACTCTTCCTCCTCCTCCTCTTTTCTCTTTTGCTCACGCTTCTTGCGGTCACCCTTCTTGGATTTTAGTTCCTTCTCCCACATCTTGTTGGCAGCTTCCTTGTCAAGATCGGGGAACACAATGTCAAACACCTCTCGGTACCATGACACGGGGCGGCCCTCGATGCCTTCTTTGATATTCTGTTGGCAAGTTAGCCAATCATCCTCTCCTAATGTAGATAAGACGTGACACGTACCTCCGGTAGTTCCAGCCAATCACTCATATTGTCGTGTGGGAAAATCACGGTTTTTGCACCTGCCCTTCGTGCTGCGACAGTCTTTTCGCGTAGTCCACCAATTCTCAGCACTTTTCCGGTAAGAGTAAGCTCGCCAGTCATGGCAACATCGTCTCTAATCTTCTTGTTGAGCCCCAAACTGAGCAAGCTGGTAGCCATCGTGATGCCAGCGCTTGGCCCGTCTTTAGGAGTACCGCCCTCGGGGCAGTGCAAGTGTATCCTGGCATGTTCGAAGAATTTATTCTTTGGGAAATCGCGAGCCATGATGCTCTTTGCGAACGAGTAGGCAACCCCGGTCGACTCCTTCATCACATCTCGGAGGGAACCGCTGCGCTCGAGACCAGGTGACGACGAAGCGGACAGCGCATTTTGCAGGATAGATTCAATGTAGAGCGCAGAGCCGCCCATGGAGGTCCATGCTAGACCCATGGCTACACCAGGTGGCGTAAAGTCGTATAGGCGGTCAGAAGTAAAAATTGGTGGGCCGACATAGTCTTTAAGATTGTCCTTGGTGATTGAAACATGCACTGAATCTGGTACCTTGAGAGCCACGCGAGGCTTTTCGGTAGTCTGCTCCTCGATGTTCTTTGGGGTCTCTTTGGGGTCGTTCTCGTTCTTGTTTGATTCCTGTTGCGCAGCCTTGCCCTCTTCCGTCAAAGCTGCAGCTTCTGGAAGAGCCTCCTCGCCCACATCAGTGACAATCTTCAAAGCAGACTTTCGGTAGACCTTTTCAATATGCTTCTTGAGATTTCGCACACCAGACTCACGGCAGTACTTGTTGATGAGCTCGACAATTGCATCTTTCTCAAGCACAACGTCAGCATCCTTCAAACCGCTCATTTCCTTGGCCGCAGGAGACAGGTACTTCTCAGCGATTGCAATCTTCTCATCGGAAACATAGCCCGAAAGTCGTATTACCTCCATACGGTCAAGCAGTGGTTGCGGAATGGTCTCGTCCATATTGGCTGTGCACACGAAAAGGACTTTGGATAGATCGACAGGCACGTCTAGGTAATGATCTAGGAAGCTATTGTTTTGCTCTGGGTCAAGTAGCTCGAGAAGGGCAGATGCTGGGTCACCATGATTGCTATTCCGACCAATCTTGTCAACTTCATCAATCAAGACGAGTGGGTTCTCGGTTTGACATTTCTTGAGAGCCTGAATGATACGTCCAGGCAGTGCACCAACATATGTTCTGCGGTGACCTTTGATTTCTGCTACATCGTACATACCACCGACACTGAAGCGGTAGTACTGGCGGTTTAAGGCGCGAGCAATTGACTTTCCGATGGATGTTTTGCCCACACCTGGCGGTCCTACCAAACAAAGGATCTTGCCTTCAACAGTGCCGCGCAGTTTGCCGACAGCGATGAACTCTAGGATGCGGTCTTTTACGTCTTTTAGGCCATGGTGGTCTTCATCTAAGACTTCGCGTGCATGCTGGATACCAAAGTTTTCGGCGCTACGTAAACCCCAAGGAAGCTGTGTGAGCCAGTCAAGGTAGTTGCGGGTTACATTAAACTCTGATCCGTTGGGCTCGAGGCCTTGCAGCTTGCTCATCTCCTCCTCGAAGACCTTGCGCACAGCTTCGGGCATAGCCAACTTGCTGGCCTTTTCGTTAAACTTCTCAATCAGCTTGTCCTTGCCGTCGGACTCAATGCCGAGTTCACGTTTGATGCCTTTCATTTGTTCCATTAGCATGTATTCGCGATGCTTCTTCGTGACTCGGGCGTTGACATCGTCTGCGACCTTCTTTTGAAGTTCTGCACTAATGAGTTCCTTCTTCAGAAGCTCTAGTGCTTTGCTCAGCCGCTTTTCAATGTCCATCTCCTCGAGCGCATCTTGCAGCTCGTGCGACTCGGCTTGGGCTACGGCAGCTGCAAAATCAGCCAGCTTGACGGGATCCTCGCCAACGTTCATGGTAGTGTGTACAGAGAAGGTCGAGACATGGTCTCGGAACAGTGGGTTTAAGAGGGCAACGCCCTTGAAAGTGTTGACAATCTCGTTGACCAGCACCTGGATTGTCTTGTTCGATTTTAGGTCAAAGGGCTCTTCAACCATGTTGTCCACGTCAGCGATGCTGACCTTGCGGCCCTTGAGAATGGTGGGGACCAGGGCGCCTTGAGCCGTCTTGGTATCTTCAGTGGACTCTTCGAAGCTGGCAACGACGTCACCCTTGGATTGGGTCGCAGCTGCATCGGTCTCTGGTGTTTCGGAACCTTCGTCCATAGTACTCTCAGCTACCAATGGCTCCTCCTTGGCTTGCGTTGGCGGCGTCAAACCCGTCATCTTTATGCGGCGGTGCGGGTAAAGAACGCAAGTCATGGCGAAGTTATCATCGGCGCCCACAGGGAATGCGCTTGTAACCTGGCAGAATGTGCCCACATCGTAGACCTCGTTAGGGTCGTCGATAACGTCCTTGTCAGCGGCCTCATCTTTGAACATAAAGGCTCCAATGTACGGTTGTCCCCGCTTCACCATGTCGGCAATTGCCTGGCCGACCTCCCTATCTCTGATTGTGATGGCCTTGTAGAAGCCAGGGAACAACGGGCGCTTGACGAGTGGTATTGCCATGACTTGTGGGTAGACGTCTGGTATCGTGGGCTTGACGAGGGCACGTTCGGAGCCCTTTCGCTTCTTGCCGCCGCCATCACCACCCTCGCCACCTCCAGTGGCTCCGCCTGCTGCGCTGCCTCGCCCGGAGCCGGTGCGCGGGGGTACTGGCTCGGACGTGTCACTCTTGTCCTCGACTTCTCGGCTTTTCTGCTGCTCCTTGAGCTTCTTTAGCTCATCAGTCTCCTCGGCTGCGCCCTCACCCAGTGGTTCAGGTGGTGTCTTGGGATCTTTTTCCTTTTGCTTGCTCAGCGACGTGGAGAAGTTGCGGTATGCGAAGAGGGCGGCGGGTGGCGAGGGGCACCGGTGGAGTGGCCGTGCAACCAGCGATGCTGTGCATTGGGCGAGGAGATATCGTGGCGATGATCTGGTGGTGAATTTTGTACAATTCGAGCGCGATGCCTGGCGGAGGGCTGCCCGCCACGGCAGGTTCTGGCTCTGGAGCATGATGTGTTTGTGTTATGAGTGCAGCCAGGCGGCAGAAAATCTTATGAGGGTATACAAAGAATGAGAGCAGTGTGCGTGGAAACAGGCAGCACACGTGTTCTCGCCACGTGAATTGATGCGGGGAGAGGAATAATTAAACAATGTGCAAATATAAAAGGCGATATGGTAGTGGCGGCATAGCTATCGTCTACGCATCAATTGATCAGCAACGTCGGAATCTCGACATCATCACCGCACGTCCAAGCTCCTCAGATTCCGATAGCCGCGATGGCAAAACCCCGGCACTACGCGACGCTTGGATTCCATCAGCTCGCACATACTCTACGACCCATTCATCTCTGTATATTCCTTATAATACCCACAGCTACAACTACATAGGCATGCATACATCTCTCCGCACATCTCACCTCGTCCAGCGCCTTTCTGCACTATACACCGTTATCCTCGATCGCCATATCCGCATCTTCGCAGCGATGACAAAGTCGATTTCCAATGCTGTAGAACATTCTCGAATGCCGCCCGCTTCTGCAAAGCACAGGTGTGCAAACTTCCCCCGTCTCTCAAACCCACATACTACATATACATACACATTCACTCGATCCCACGCGCACAGGTTTCTGGGACTCTGAATTCTGTTCTCAAATATATCATGAAATCTATGCTACTCGACTGTGTACAGCTCTGTCTGTCTTCTATCCAATGGCAACGCCCCCCGTCTCACCCACCAAACTCAGAAATGCCACCGGAGCTAAATTGGCAACCATTCATCCTATCAAATGGTTTGATCAAATGACTTACCTTTGTAAAGGTACTGAAGCCGTCCTAGATGGCTTCCATAGCGCCTAGATATCTAGCTCACGACTCAAGTTTTCAGACTGATGCCATTTACCACTACTAAACAACAGCAGCACATTCTTTTCCTTCTTCGTTCTTCCATTGCTCTCTACCCACGGTCCCGATCTCTCAAGTCCCGGGCTCAGTTGTTTCCTAGCCCGCGCATTGCACTATCTTCAGCGTCAGGTGTGACAGCGCGAATGGTCACAACCTTGGGTTTGGCCGTCTTCTGCAGGCATTTGCGCCGAGGAACCCGTACTTCTCGGTTGCTAATCTTGTTCCAGATGTCTGATGCGATTGGTTCTCCAGCAGCATACTCAACATCGGCTGGGTTCACTGCGTTGACATGTCGCATCGTGCCTGCTCCAAGCGCACCGTGCATCCGCTGATCCTGGAAATGCTCGACAGTGTCATGTCTTCCATATTTATTCTCGTCTGCCGCCTCGGCCGTCATGAACACTCGCTCCGACGGGGCGAGGAAATCTTCTCTCACCTGGTGTTCAATATCTACACGAGGTGCGACTGGATCTGCCACTGGCGTCATGTTCGCCGGTACTGCGTGAAGATGCCCATATGGCCGATTGTCAGGATGCACGTTTGTTGAAAGTCCAATTCCCCAGAGTTCGAAATTATCGCCTTGGTTCTGTTCGTTTTCCCTAGCATGTTGCATGCGTTCTTCGTCATAACCAGGGAGAAACTGTTGCTTGGACTGATGGTAGCCAAAGTAGGTTACCAGCCCTGCTATTACAAGCATCATGAAGACGAGTACTATCATGAGGACCCATGTATTCATGGTCGAAGAAAAGCAAGCAGTAATTGGATTCAAAACTGCAAATACTTTTGTATTGATGTCTGTTGTTATGTGGGGGAAATATCGACCCCAGGAAAGGTATTTCCTTATTATAGTAAATCGAAAGAAGAGAAGAAATTTCATAGGGCTGGGCATGGCCAGCGCTCCCCTTCATAATGTACTAGTAACAATGCTGCTGTCTCAATCACATTGCGATAGTTCACACAAGAGTAATGCATTGTGTGAACCCGTGCGGGAACCTTGAGACATTGTGCAGAGTAGGGTTTTCGCTACTTTGTGAGAAGGATCTGCTGTTGCATTGTACCAGCTTCATCATTTCTCATTTCTCATGAGCTGACTGGTTCACACCTCTTAAACCCAGAAGATGATTTACTTGTTATAACCAGGGAACCTCTAAAGGAAACTCTGCTTATATCCAAGGTATTAGCTGTGTATTGGAAGCGATTAGTGGCCAAGGATTGCGGAATATCCAGTCAGTTCACAAGCGACTCCAATGAGCCTCTGTTTCAATTGGACGCATGTTAGGTGTTTTGTAATATGCTTTTGTGCTATTGTAGTACTGGAAACAGTCTAGCATACAAGATAGCCATAACTGGGGAATGTTTTGATAAGATGCATATATCCTCGTGTGCACGAGATTGATTTGGATTCAAAGGGCTCCTGGCCACGGTGTAGAGCCGCCACCGCAATACGGCTTGGGAGTGGTTTTTTTATTCCGGCCTGCTCCCCAGTCTTTCTTCCCTTTGGGACTATGCTGTTTACATTGAACGTTAGTTGATTTGTCTAGTTCTAGCTACCAGTCAAGCTATCAAAGTGATCCTCGTCAAACAAGTTTCGTAATACACAACCAACACTCACGTTCTTTGGCCTGTCTCCTCGAAAAGGAGGCAAATACAGAAAGTAAGAACCTCAATAGTACCAGTGACTGCGAAACACAAGAGACCCAAACCACCAACTCTATGATAGTCACCGCCGTGATACTCGTGAATATCACTGTGCTAGTGATATAGTATATACCCCGGGCTATTTGAACCGGCCAGTCCTCATCCGATCCCTGAATAGCCGAAACCACCTTCCCTTTGTTATATTCTACGGTAATCATTGCATTCCTTGCAACCGCTGGTCGAATTCCGTGTACTTCGAGTGGAATTAAATGATTGCTGTCGGGCCGAACACCAATGTGAGCCTCTCTTTCTTGATTCAGTCTCTTGGTCAGTGCTTGTCTTCATTCCGCAAAGGTTCTATGGATTGATGCTGGAAGTAGAGCGGCGACATATCAGGCAGTAATGAAGAATGAAACAATGCAACCGAGCGCAGATCTTTTACTGTATATTTCGTCGAAAACCAACGCTGCATAGCAGACCAAGAGGCACGCCCCAAGTGTGACTACCATAAAGCGCATAGCTGACCTTCTCATGTTCCCCGCGTATCCTGCTAAGTCGTTACTTTTTTCCTCTCTCTGATGAGTTAAAAAACCAGCTCCTTTTTCGGCCGGTAGTGGTACAAGGGCCAAAGCTAGGGCTAAGATATCGCACAGCCATGGCAGGGGATTGGTAACGTGTATAATGCGCTGCTCTGTCCATGCGACGTTCTTCAAAGTTAATTGTATGGGCCCCATGACTAATGCTGTGGGTGCAAACTGTTGCTTCCGGCTTTCACCACAGGACTCAAAGAGACAATCTGCGGCGTTCCAGTAACTTTGTACGCCATTCTTGAGCTTATCAAACTTCCGGTACGGTTCGAACGGCGAATAGGCCATGATAGATTCAACATTGTCGGGACAATGGCCAGTCCCCATATGCACGGGCCCTCAGTCAATATCCACGAACTATTTTTTTTCCTGATAACCTCATATTATACGCGCTATTGCAATCATTCGAGCAAAATCGGATAAATCCATCTAGGAAGAAATAGCAGTAGGGGCAATCTCTTAATCGCACTCCTACGTGCTATCCCATCAGCAAGAAAAAAACGGGGGGGAAAGCAGATTCAAAGATTCTGCTTACCTAAATTACAATTCCGCCCTTATTATCAAAGCGATCATGCGGAGAGTCCAGGTAATCTTTTAAAGTTTTGCTAAAGGGTCCAGGTACATTCTGCATTGAAATGCATTTCTTATCTGTAAGCACTACAGAAGAGTCCACGGTAAGAGAGATTCTATTTAATTATTATGTCAGCCCGGAGTGGTCAAATTTAACATAAACCTTGAGCCAATCTAATATAAATATCTTGTTTTACCGTCCAGCTCGCTTATTAATGTTGTTACTTATATCCTGAGCGTTGTCTTATGAGCTTCTAATCGTCTCAATGATAAGCTAGATCTAGGTCTCTAAGGGAGGTAAGATTTTCGGAGTGAAAAACAGTACAAGGTCTTGAATACTATGGGCGAGTAGGTGTATCCCTTAGTTTTATATAGATCGCACCCAATCCCTTTCTTATCAAGTACAGCCCGTTCGATAAAACACAAGTTGAAAAGACTTTTACATTATATCTTCGGAATGCAACTTGAATTTATCCTCCTTACTATAGCTTTTCTTGCTGCACCTACCTGAGCCGCTAAGCACTGGGGCTGTGCTTCTGACTGGCATTATAAAAATGGCCGTATGTGGGGTGGCACCGCCACGCAATGCGAAACTTGGCAATGGGTTGACTGTGTAAGACTCACCTCTTATCCTATCTTTATTTTACTAATAATTACTAGATCAAACCATATTCAGTGCACGAAATTGAAAAGAAGGTTAAGTGTTCTGGAGTCTGGCCAAACAAAGTTAAGTATTATGGGGACTGGTTGAGTTGTGATGGAAAACAAATCTGGGATCGCGCAATAGACAACGACAAGGAGACTGCATGTGCTCTCGCATGTGTCGGGAGTTTTTAGAGTGTCTAGCTCATTCGGCTAGGCTGAACACATCACAGCGCCAGCTGAGGTGTTCAGCAGTTGGTGGTTGGTGGTTGGTGGCCAGTGGGTTTGAAGACCGAAATCGTGATAAGGGTCAGCACAACCTTTAGAAAACATGTTTTCTTGCCTATCTGATAGCACATGGCTGTGCGGTTTTGATGCTTCTTATCTGATGTCTTTGCAGGTCCCGGTTGTGGAGTTATTAAGGTGTAAACGTAAAGAGTGCTGCTTTCAAGCGTGGGGTGAGTAGTGAGGCACAGAGCCCTTTACAACGACTGAGCGACTATTACTACAAATATCTAAACAAGATCCAAACTAGAGTACAGTTTAGCCTAGTAGAAACCTACTAGTATAAATATTCTACTTGTAGTAGAACTATTATGTGATATCGGTAACACGAACTTCTAGCTTGAGATACGTCATCTCTAATCAACGGTGATACACTCTAGTGACTTCCCAAATGAACATGTCCCTGCTCCATCCACTCTTCAAACCCTAGCATTGGCAGTTACACATACGTGCCTGGTGGAGGATTTTCAGGACTTCCCGAGGTGAATTCCTTGTCTGTCACAAACTCTTTAGCCTGCCATTCCAACATTGCCTCATGACTCCTGCGTTGTCTGTTGACAGCGAAATCTGGGAAGGGACCTGGTTGACCATCAATCCAAACGTGGGTGTAAACATCTAAACTTGGATAGCAAGCGAAATATTGCAATAAAATAAGCAGGCAGTGATCCCCATGCGCTTCATGTAGCAGCGGCATCACAGGTCTTAGCTCAGCGGCATAGTAATGATCGTGGTGGTCATACTTCTGGATCACGTTCAAATATTAAATGTTGTGCTGAACATCCAGCGAGACAGCATACTTGTCGTCGCCAAAGCCGAATGAGTGATCAATCTTGATGGTCTTTTCTGAGTCCTTGCCGAGCTTCAGAAGGTCCTCTTTGTTGGTGACCCAGGAGGATACCTCGGAAAGTCGGTGTCACGCCTTGTCCGTCTCTGGTGAAGGAGGACTGCGAAGTACGTTCTTGCGTATGTCAAATAACGTTCCATCTACGGTTTTGTAACCAAAGGCGGGTCAAAGTACTGGCGTACTGGCGTACTGGTTCTAAGAAGGAACTTGATAAACATGCCCGTCCGACCCATCTCGATTCTTGCTGTGTATGCTTACCAAAGTGATAATTAATTTCCGTTCTCCGGTAGTCCGAAGACGCTCTTGAAAGAAAGACAACGCCAGTAACCGTGAAATCACGTGAGCGGCAAAAGAGCAGCAAGTTGATTTTCATGCGCCACTTAAGCTTCTGAAGCTGAACGTTGGCAAGGGTAGGGTTTCGAAGAATTCCAGTATCCTCATCCATCAAAGTCTGCTGCACCAAAGCAAGAGCATGGCTGTATCTCATGACTCGACACTCTCACCTTTGCCACGAAATGCTCTGTTGCAGATGCCTCAAGAGGCTGATATGATCCCATTATACGTGTCTTAGGCAGTTTACTATTAGGTGCATTTTAGACAAGCACACGTTCGTTTCCCAAGTTGTGACCCGATGGCCCGGTATTATGCAGTAGATTGGTCGCAATGGAAGGCGTGAGTAGTTTGGAATGCAAGCCAGAATAACTGTACATCAACAAAACCCAGCTTAGCTCAACCTCTCAAATAAAGGAATCCCCTACAACTGCAGATTGCCTCAACTGAACATTTTCGAAATTAGAGAATTGCCTAAATCAGGACAAAAGGTCGCGTATTGAACGTCAGCAAGCGAGGTGTTACTGATCGAGGGACCAACCGCATTGCGAAAATCTTGAAGGCCATCTTGGGGAATGCAGAACTACGTCAAGTTACAATCATATTAGCAAGCAATAGACGCGCTCACTAATACGAGCTGGGTTTAGCCACCCAATCTGCGATGTATGCTCTCAAGAGATGTTAGTTTACAAAACTGAATGGAGATCAACGCCTACAAATGGAGAAAGTTGCGCTGTTACTGAGACGTAACCGGATGGAAGATTAGGGAACGATATGGCTTTGGGCATTTGTAACACGACATGTGGCAATGCATGCGTCCGAAACTAGCTCGAAAGCGCAGGCTGGGATTCAGTGCTGAAAGACCAGCCGAGGATCAAGCATACAGTCCTATGGTACACTCAGCGTCTTTGATATGAAGTATAAATATCACAGAATTCACCAGCATTGCACAATTTTCCACAGCTCACAGTACCACAACATCACAGCCCTACCAAATATTCCACAACTTGCAAAGTCTGAAACTCAGCAGTATAAGCCGCAAAAATGAAGTTCTTCGCTACCATAGCTCCCCTCGTTGCCATCGCCATGGCTGTTCCCGCCGCCGAGCTCGAGGCCGCCCCAGCTCCCGTTGGTAAGTACTGAACAGACTTGCATCGTTGCTGAGATAGGGGCTTACAGATCGAAGCCGAGAAGTTCGTCGACAACGTTCTCCAGCGCGGACCTTTTCCGTAACTCTACGAGAGCTAGGTTCTTATATTATCAATAGGAAGACATGTAGTCTAAAAAATCCCATTTGTATGGAAGGTTATGTTGCTAAGAATGTTAACATATTTAGTGAGAGGGTAATTGGCTGGGCACGTGTTCTTAAACTAGACCGAGGCCTGGGTAATGAATCAAAGTTCTTACTGAAACATTTGAGACCCTTGACGATCCTTCGGCGAGTCACTTTGGCACTTGTAGAGATCTTCAATTTCAAGTGATTTAATCTCGTCTTGATACTTCTCATGGAATTACATGAAAATGATATCACGAGTACCGTAGTTTACTCTTGAACGGTATGACAGATTCAGTATTGGGAGTCACGGATTATGAGATAAGGATCACGTGAGCTGGAAATACAACAATGTATAACGCTAATGAGTATATTAATCTCTGGTGCGTTAGTAACATTCAAACTAAAGAAGAGAATTATCCTAAGAGCTCATACTCCAGTCATCACCTTTTGTGAATAGCCGTATATTTACTAGCTGCAGGAACCCGTGCCATAAGATTAGAGATACTATTCTGTTCCAGGAAACGGTAGGGTTGCAGGTATGAGCATTTCAGCGCCTGCATATCCATAGTGGTCCCTGTGACCAGACTGGACAATTCCCAGTCTAGGTTTAAGTAATCATACTGTTCAGATCGTACATTATAATGAGCCACGTGTCATTCACGCACCGAAATCAGCAACAAGGTATCATCAGTTATGCAACTATTAAGTTTTCTGTCTTTTCTTTGTAAGCGTTTTAGCATACGTCTTTGCAGCTAAAATATACAGCCACGCGGGCATCTCAACATGCGATTTATCATAGCGTTCCTGAAGTATCCGAGGCGAAGTCTTTTCAAACGGTACAGTCGAGTATCAGACGAAGACTTTGGGTTGGAATTTGGAGAGAAGCACTACAAGACGACTAGTCATACGAATGTTGGCTCTGAAAAAAGGTTCCGTATCTGGGTGGCGCTGGCATGGTTTTTTGCTTTGACGTCTGCGGAGCTCATTTTCAACAATTGGGAACTACGCAATGACAATGACTTCAGAACGTGTGGTGGCAGATTCGATACAGAATTTCGTAACGGTCCCTCCATTATGCTACCCCTTCTGCTAACTTAAGGGCTTAGTACCAGCTACACAAGCGATCAAGTTTATCAAAACAAGACTCCCCAGTAGCCCGCGAATTGGAGAGACAGGAGAGAAGTACTTCTTGCCCAACTCGAATATATTTGCATCCGCTGGATCGCCTAGCCCAGTTGTTGACAAGGCTTGGAATATATCTACTGGTGAAATCGGAGGTAGTTCTCGACGATTAGCTTCGTTGCGGATTCGGCTAATGATATAAGGTCTCTACTTTCTTGTCACGGACGAAGAGGGATAACAATCACGGGGAGAGAGTTCAGACGAATATTCGGATGATCGTCGAGGAGGATACCGCACCGGGTAATTTCACACTTCTCGATACCAGGTCGAAATCGCATGACTGAAAAAATAACAGGCTCGATATTTTTCACTCTCTTCGTTGCCCGGTACTAGTCCACGCCTGATGGGTAACATGACATAACAAGCGTTTACAGAATCATACAAGAATGACATTTTATCCAGAGTACTATCAACGACATAAGGTTCACGGGAGAAAACACACAGGTACGAGCTGAGGCACTCTATGACGATAACGAGAAGTGTGTCGAAGATGGACAGATCACTGCATAAACCAACTCCGTCAACTCATCATGTGCTACGGGGACATAACACCAATCCCATTAGATACTATGCCGGTTATGAAGGCAACTATATCAACGCAGATCAGGTCCACGTCTGCCGCGATTTTGAGTTTTTACTTCGATGGAAAACAAGCAGGCATAGTGGCAGGGAAGCTGCAGGTCCTAGGTACAGAAATGCGACCGCTAAGATACTGGACTTTAATGAACCGTAGCAACATACTGCATATCTGATTTTCTGCCAAAATTATATATTGTCGATACTGGAGGCGTTGGGTAATGCTATGGTCGGGTTGAAGTAGCCCCAGGTCGCCTTTCGAGCCGCCGCAGCATGGTGGGTATTTTGACACAACGATAGGTTATCCCACAAAAAGGCAAAATGTAGATGAATCACAGTTCTTTCGTGCGAAGAGGGATAAAGTAAAACTTCTTTAACTACATGATCCAGGATGCACTTAACTGCGTTTCTGATCATGTATGTAGTATGTCGCTACTGTTTACAATAATGACGCGATAACTACTGCCAAGAGAAAGCATTGGGACGGTATACTAGACAGAAAGGTGCGCTACACGCCAAGATAAAAGCACATGCATGCTATCGGAACACGCAACAGCCGTGACATGATTGCTAACCAGTACGGCTTAGTTGCCTGAGCAGGAAATAATGAGGGGTTTCAAAAAGTGCACTTTTTATTAGGAAGCGAGCGGCTTCCAGCTGAGCGGCTGCCAGCTAAGCGGAACTGCGTGTCCAGCTGGGCGGAGATGCGCGTCGGAAGCCCGCGTTTTCGGTCAGCCATACAAGGCCATTGGACCTAACTCCGGAAATTCCGATTCGTTCCCACATTTTCAAGGGCTCTAAGGATTTTCGTGCAATATCCGACGGTCTTTGGGGGTTGGGGGGTTGGGGGCAAGTATAAAACCATTGTTATTTTCCGGAAGCCAAAAGATAGATAGATACCATGTTCGCAATGGACGAATTGGAAGACTCGGAACCATTCGACTTATCTATGCGAGTAGGTTCAAAAATAAAGTTTGGACGGGCTTCAAAGACCAAACTTACCCCCTCTTCGCACAAGCCAACGGACAACTTTGGAACTCCCAGTCTTTTAAAAATGGATGTGAACCTTTGCGTTATTATCGGCGTTGATGTTATGACTCACGCCCGTAAGGACTGCCATCTAAATCTGTGATACTCAACAACCTTAACACACCACGACGAAGGCTTGACGTTATGGCACCCGCGCGCGATGACAAGTTCCTACCAGAGGTTTGGGGTCTTTACTCCGTTGGCGCACTATGGCTTCTTCTCAGGTTCGCAGTGCGCCTTCGTACCGTTGGAGTAATGGGACTGCAACTTGATGATGGCTTCGCGTTCGTTACACTGATTGCCTGGACGTACACGTGCGCCGTAACAGAAATAATGTATCACACTGGAACGAATACCGACTACTCTACAGCTGAGATAGCTCTGTTCAGTCATGTCAAGTTTGCAGAAGTAGAGCTGTCAAGCAAGCTCTTCTTAGGCTCTTGGTACGCGTAGTAAGTATGACAACATCGCATTATTGTAAAGATACTAACCAAGAATAAGCATCGTTTTGATCTTCAGTCTCAAAGGTATTGTTGTAATACTCTACCGACGAATCTTCTTGGAGCTCTGGCAAATCTATATGCTACGATTCACTATAATTCTATGCTTGTCAGGATTCACGGCCACCACACTGGCTTTGAGCCTCTCATGCCTGCCATACCACCAAAGGTGGCAGTTAGTTCCGCATCCACCTCTCGTATGCACCGCGTCACCAAAAATCCTCATTCTTGCAAGCTGTCTTAACGCTACGACAGATGTTTTTGTAGGTCCATTGCTAACCACAAGTCAGCACCTACACTAACACAGCTAAGTTGCTTAGTATACCAGTTCCACTTCTTTGGCAGTTGAACAAGCCTTTGTCCATGTACGTGGTTCTTTTGCTTCCTAAATGCGAAGAGATCCTGACATGCCCAGTCGATTTGGTGTTTTTGTCCTTTTGGCCTCCGGTCTCTTCGTTCTGGCAGCATGGTACGTGATTATGCCTTCATCTTCATGCAATGAAAGGCTTACAATAAGGTTGGAAAGTGTTACCCGTGTATCACTCACTGTCGTACCCAACATATTCGTTCTTAATATCGCGCGCTGGGGGATACGGGAGTTCTGTATCGCCATTGTTGCTGTTAACAGTGCTTGTTTGCAACCTTGTAAGCTTTCCTGGTTCTCTGCTATGCGTACCCCGCTGAACCATCAGTATTTCGCGGGTCATTCTGGGCCATTCGAAAACGTCATCCAGCAAACCGGAGTAATCGAAATTACGTGTTCGCATCTGCACAGCGGGCCCGTCAACGCTTTAGGAAAGCACGGAACCGCAGCCATATTCTAGACTCTACATCTGCAGGCGCATCGATCAGCAACGCATCTATGAAACATGCACCTATAAAGCAAGAATATGTTGGTAACAACAATACATTGGAGAATCCGAGATATGAAGTCACTTCAAATCAATCACAAGATGATCAGCACGGTAGTGGGTTGGAAACTATATCAATCATCAGGAGCTTAGAAGAGGTTGATATAGAAAAGGGTGACGCTTCGCTGGCAAGACAACCTGAACAGACAGTGATGCCTTGATATTTGGGGAATTTGAGATGAGAAACCAAGCACCATGTTTTAAAATTCAGCGTGAGGGTTGTTGTTCCAATTCTTCAACCACATAGTAGCTAAGAAATTCTAAAACCCACACCATTAACGTGATTACGATTAATCTGTATCACTAGAAGTCATGCTAAGTACTTTTATAAACTACTTATTTTCTATAAATTCTTTATTTTCTTAATTTATACTTATTGTCTTTAAGGTCTTAATTTATTACTTAGTATTATTATTATTCTATTATAGTCCTGTATTAGTGTTACACGGGGTTTAGTGCTGATACTTCTCTAAGCTCGATCCGGGTTAGGGCGAGTGAGGTGGGGTGAAGAGCTACGTAAGGGTT